TCGTACCTTGACGGGATATCGAGTCACAATGAGCGCCGCATCGTACCTTGAATGCTTGTCGAGTCACAATGAGCGTCACATCGTACATTGACGGGTTATCGAGTCACAATGAGTGTCACATCGCACCTTCATGGCTTGTCGAGACACAATGAGCGTCACATCGCACCTTGATGGCTTGTCGAGTCACAATGAGCGTCACATCGTACCTTGAAGGGGTGTCGAGTCACAGTCAGGGTCACACCGTACCTTGACGGGATGTCGAGTCACAATGATCGTCTTATCGTACCTTGACGGGGTGTCGAGTCACAATCAGCGTCACATCGTACCTTGACAGGGTGTCGAGTCACAATGAGTGTCACATCGTACCTTAAAGGGGTGTCGAGTCACAATGTGCGTCACATCATACATTGACGGGGTGTCGAGTCACAATGAGCGTCACATCGTAACTTGATGGTTTGTCGAGTCACAGTGAGCGCCACATCGTACCTTGATGTTTTGTCGAGTCACAATGAGCGCCCTTTTGTGCATTGACGGGGTGTCGAGTCACAGTCAGCGTCACATCGTACCTTGACGGGGTGTCGAGTCACAGTCAGCGTCACATCGTACCTTGATGGGGTGTCGAGTCACAATGATCGTCTTATTGTACCTTGACGGGGTGTCGAGTCACAGTCAGGGTCACACCGTACCTTGACGGGGTGTCGAGTCACAATGATCGTCTTATTGTACCTTGACGGGGTGTCGAGTCACAATGAGCGTCACATCGTACCTTGACGGTATGTCGAGTCACAATGAGCGTCACATCGTACATTGAAGGGGTGTCGAGTCACAATGTGCGTCATCGTTCATTGACGTAGTGTCGAGTCACAATCAGCGTCTTATCGTACATTGATGGCCTGTCGAGTCACAATGTGCGTCACATCGTACATTGACGGGGTGTCGAGTCACAATGAGCGTCAAATCGTACCCTGACGGGTAAACCTGAATAATCTGAGTTTGGTCACCATGGCAATGTCATGTGCCAGTAAGTGGTCCGTCGCTACGGCAACGTCATGTGCTGAAAAGTGTTCCCTCGCCGTGGCAACGGCATGTGCCGGTAAGTGGTCCCGGGCCATGGAAATTTAATATGCTTGTAGTCTGCCCTCGCCATGTCAAGTCCAAGTGCCAGTAAGAGGGCTTAAACAGGTTCTAATTATATAATGTCTACAAACAATTACAGACGCAGGACATGCCTCCACGTAAACATTAACAATTTACTCTCATTTGTCTGCTAACACGTCATCCTGTCTTAACATTTTACCCTCACTGATCAAATATCAGACCATTAATTTCCACCCTTTCAGGCACACTTAAAGTTGAAGCACTGCTAAAGTGTTATTGTGGCCACATATGCCTGTGTTGCCGGTCAAGGAGAGACAACTCTTACCGATTAACAAAGCGCACGTAAAATATCCTTTAATCCGTTTATTGCATAAACTGAACTGAGTCGCAAACGAAATAATACCTCATAGTTGATTTTATCATACGTTTGATTTGCAATTGAAAATATCTTAGCCCTGCCTGGACGTCATACTGCTCAGTGCCGCACTGTGATGACGACGCGGTTTTAAAAACATATACATTGTATCAAAAGTGTTACAACGTTCTTATTTCTTCACATACTGTAACCAAATTGTATAAGATGCAACTCGAGTTGATTGTCTTTTCATCCATGAACGTCATAAATGTAATGGAAATATGTCGTTTTCTCATGTGTACCGACCATTCCGCCATTACCGATAGTCGATAAAAAATATACAAAACGTGTAAAAAACTTGTTCGCAAAGGAATGAACAGAAATGTATTTACGTGAATAAGTATACAGTTGTGAAAAATATGTCTCTCTGACCACTCAAGTCATATTATGTCTTATAAACAAGGATTTTATCTGAAAATATTTACTTGCATGTGACATGGATGCATAATCAAATTCCGTGTTCAACCATGGCAGAGAAAGACCGAGAAGCGCGGTAGCCACTTTACCAATTTCGCCATATTTCGCAATCCGTAGCATTGTATAAAGTATGAGTTACACGATGTTAAAGCGAAGATGATTGGGGTGATGATGGTTATACTTTTTTTACTTTGCGCACTCAGTGTTTGATATCAAAATTAAAAGTTTAAACAGGGTATTTTCTCGGGACCATATATGGTCCCTTGGCACCAAGGTTAAGTTCGCGGTAGTATGTTTAAAAAAATAACTGTAGTGGTTCTTAGTCAGCACTCAAAGAAAACTTCAACATAGTTCGTATTTTTTAAAATATAACTTGATTTAAACTTTTTTTAAAGTTTAAAAAGGTAAAAACTACATTTGTATAATACACAACTGCTGATGAGTATCTTAAACATCTTATCTTTGTAAATCAAAAGATTTGCTTCTTTCGGAACAGGGTCATGCGGTTGCAAATTCATTTTTAATCCTTGCCTTCATTGAACCAATTTATTTTTACCCAACATTACAAAATACAATAGATTACTTTTTCAAGTGTATTGAAAACAGGTAATTTTTTAAACTTCCAAGAGTGCAGTTCAATTGCTTGTGGAATGATCCATTTTATATCAACATGGACTGGTACTTGTCATGTATTGCACGTGCATGGGCTGAACCACTAGTTGCGTTCAAGCGTGTGTTGTGGGTAGTTTTCTCGATCCCTTTCATTCTTGTACTTTTCATTGCTTTTAACTGTCCATTTATCCAGTTTCATAAAAGCATCCAGTCAGTGCGACACTTCAATAATGACACTGAGTATATTGGAAACGACAAGCAACAAAAGTCCATATTACCGCTTGTTTCAATCATGAACGATGTATTTCGATCAGATGTCTGTTTCTACCGCTGTGTCATTCGACCCTGGGTCAAGACAAATATAGTTTGGCGAATGAGTAAAAGGTATTTATCACAATAGAAACAGGAACATGATTGAGTGAGTATGGTTTTAGGAATATTCCAGCAATATCTAGGCGGTAGACACCAGAGATGGGCTTCACTCATTGTACCCGTGTTGGAAATCGAATCCGGGTCTTCGGCGTGACGAGTGAACGCTTCAACCACTTTCACCCAACCGCCCCACACAGGAACATGATTTCAAATAGTTTCTATACTTTTATTTATACATACCAGTAGTATTTGGAGCAGGCAAGATGACAATGAAGAAATTTTATCGGGAAAATACATGAAAATGTTTGTTTGTTTGTTTGTTCAACGCCACACTCAGCAATTTCCAAGCTATATGACGGTGGTCCCAAAATAATCGAATCTGGACCAGACAATCCAGTGACTTTGGCAAACTGGACTAAAGCACCCCAATTCAAGTCACTGTGCAGAGTTTCGTTCCCAAGGTATGCTTGAATCCTTGGTTATGAGCATCAAACTCGTGCACATGGGATTCACTAGTCTGTCTTACAGACCATGATGCAAATATATATCAAATACAGCCCATGCAAGTCTATAATGTTTGGCAAGTCTAGATTACTGCAGTATCAGGATGAAGAGAGTCACTGGGCTCCCTTTTATTATATTTTTTTTAAGATAACTGAACAACTGTTTTTTTTCCGTACGATATGTTCATTTCAGAGACTAGGTGTTAGTCTAGGAATTCACTAAAGAATCTACCGAAACATATTCCACTAGGCACGGTTCGTTATGTTTTTTTGTTTAACGCCACACTTAGCAATATTCCAGCTATATGACAGCGGTCTGTAAATAATCGAGTCTGGACCAGACGATCCATTGATTGATATCATGAGTATTGATTCACGCAATTGTGATACGATGACATGCATCAACCAAGTCAACGAGCCAGACCACTCGATCCCGTTTGCGCCTCTTACAAGCATAGTCGCCTCTTACGGTAAGCATGGGTTGCTGAAGACCTATTCTAACCAGGATCTTCACGGGCCACATAATACTGTGACACACAATGTAGTGTCCGTGAAGATCCGGGGTAGAATAGGTCTTGAGCAACCCATGTCGGACGAGTCGGACATGAGGACTGTGAAGTTCAGTGAGCATGCGCAGCAACTACCTAATCGTCATGTCCCTTTAGCCACATAAATCTTATTTTGTTTCAAACGATTCAGTTGGAATGTGAAGAACTCTGACACAAAGGATAGCCCTCTGACACAAATGATAGTACTATAACACAAAGGATAGTGCTCTAACACAAAGGATAGTCCTCTGACCAAATGATAGTACTCTAACACAAAGGATAGTATTCTGACACAAAGGATAGTACTATAATACAAAGGATAGTACTATAACACAAAGGATAGTACTCTAACACAAAGGATAGCTCTCTGACACAAGGGTAGTACTCTGACAAAAGGATAGTACTCTGACACACGGGTAATACTCTGACCCAAGAATAGTACTCTAACACAAAGGATAGTACTATAACACAAAGGATAGTACTATAACACAAAGGATAGTAGTCTAACACAAAGGATAGCTCTCTAACACAAAGGATAGCTCTCTGACACAAGGATAGTACTCTGACACAAGGGTAGTACTCTGACAAAAGGATAGTACTCTGACACACAGGTAATACTCTGACACAAGGGTAGTACTCTGACACAAGGATAGTATTCTGTCACAAGGATAGTACTCTGACAAAAGGATAGTACTCTGACACACGGGTAATACTCTGACCCAAGAATAGTACTCTAACACAAAGGATAGTCCTTTGACACAAATGATAGTACTCTAACACAAAGGATAGTCCTCTGACACAAAGGATATGTCGTGCCATCGTACACGGACGGCGTGGATCATTACTCACAATAGCAATCACCGGGCTGTCTGGTCCAGCTTTGATCACTTTCAGACAGTCGAATAAAGAATTTTAAGGATGAGTACTGCCCGGATGTTGGAGATTTCACTCGGACTTCCACGCCTAGATATATATTAAGACGACGCAAGACCGTCTAAAACATGTTTGGTCGTCACTGTTTGCGAAGGTGGAAATATTCTCACGTCAAAAGCATATATCTTGTTGAAACGATCCGTCACGTCCACGTCCAATTCCTTTGCACTAAACCCACTTGTACCCCCAACATTTATTCATTACAAGAAAGGCGCCGTGACTATAAGTTTATTGTTTTTTTACTTAGAGTCTCCAAGACTTGGTAACGAGACTCCATCCCCGACACCAGGTGGTTATTGACATGGCAGTGATAAAGCCATTTCCCAACGTTCATAGCGCGCATGCGCACATTGACAAACATTCCCGGAAAAAGTTGAACGACGTCGTTTTTTCGGTCTGTGTCACTGAACTCAGTCACTAGGTTGCCATGGAAATGCAGTGAATGCAGGTCAAACTGTGACCCCATGGTCATGAGGTACCAGGCGACCTTCTCACCCTTGTACATGACGGGGGTTGGCTGGTTGCCAAAGATGTACCCATTCACACCTGAAATAAAAATCAATTTTCAATATGAAACGCAGCCTGAGTGAACGAGTGAACGTGATGCGGTGTGGTGCGTTCAAATTAGGAATCATTATCAAGACGAATATATGCATCTTGGTAAGCCTAGGTGAGGTAACTCTGAGGTTTCCGGCGCCTGTACGACTGTACTGCCCGTGCCCCCTGATTTATCAATTTTACATTTATGTATAACATCGTCCAGCATGGCGGAAGACATTGACCAAGGGGAGATAAGTTCAGAAGCAAGATTGTGAAAAAATACATAAACGAAACGAATAAAAAGTCATTCTTTTACTATTTGGCATAAAACGCAGCCATTATTATTGATCGTAGCTGAGGCGAACGTGGAAATCGAAAAAAAGAAGAAATGGATCCTGGTAGTTAAAACATTATCAAATGTCATGTGATGTGATGAGGGGACGGTGTGTAGCCTTGTGGTTAAAGTGAGTGAATGAGTGAGTGAATACGGTTTTACGCCGAAATGGGCTTCACACATTGTACCCATGTCGGGAATCGAACCAGGGTCTTCGGCGTGACGAGCGAACGCTTAAACCACTAGGCTACCCGACCGCCCCTTGTGGTTAAAGCGGTAGCTTGGCACGCGTGTCCGATTTTTGATATGTACTATGTGTGAAGCCAATTTCTGGTGTCCCCCGCCTTGATATTGCTGAAATATAGCTCAAACCATACAATACTTTTATTTTACGATCATGTTGAGAATAACGAAAATATGGCATTGGACATTTTTCACAAGGGTTTCAAAGGAAATGCTAGTTGGAGATAGTCATCTCTTACGTACTCATGGAAAAACACATACACCCACATATTAACTAAATTGTGGGGAAGATTAACTCGTGTCCTATATACATGTTGCACTCATCATTAAAACATTTCTAACACTGATCGTGTTGTCAGGGTTACTTACTGTGCATGTGGTTGCTGGTCATAAATTCTCTGTACGTCTTGTTAACCAGGTCTGGTCTAGGTGCAAACATGTTGATATTCATGTCTAGATACCAGCTTGAATTCTCGTCTACAATGGTGAAATATACAGCAAACTCTCTATCCACGTCTTTACGCCGACCATTGACATCTAAAATGCCCTTCCTGTCAAACAGAGTAAATATTATTTCAAATGACGTATTTGATACAGACAAATTTCTCGAAGGAATATCTAGAAAGATTAACGTATGTTGAGTTACGTTGCCGAATAAACATACAAAACACGGTGAAGTATAAATTAATTTAATCATTCCTTTATCAACAAGGAAAAACGTTTTTTTCTAAACTGTTGATTTCAATTTATGGGGTACTATTACTTGTATTACACCAGCTGTTCTTTATGTAGATAACGGCAAAGAGATCAGACATTCCCATTTCCAATGGTGCCTTACACGTCCACATTTCATTTGAAGCTCGTATCTCTCTGTGAAAAGATCTGAGAGAAGACCTTTCAACATTTCACCAAAAAGCTTCAAAATCTGCTCGTACGAACGAACGAAACATTCACAACAAAATATATGATTAATGTAGCTCGAAAACGAACAAAAACGGCCAGTTCTAAATGGAAATGTTTAAGGTAGTATCATAACATTGTTACATATAATAAGCACCTGTCGTTTCTGAGTGCCATGGCACCTGCATCAAAACGGAAACACAGTCAAAGGGATATTTGTGTTCTGCGGCGTTTTCCGAATCGAGTCGGTACACACATTAAGCCGAATCGTTTTAGGAAAATGATATCTGATTGGCCCAAGAACCGATGCATCATTCATATAGACTGGGCCGTGAAAGTTCACTCAGGGTTCACCAAACGTGTCCTTGACCTTCTATGGTGAGATCTATGGTGTTTTCAGATCTTCACGCAGAGAGGTATCATGAAAGAGTTCTTAAGACGTAAGAGTACTGCGTTACCTGCATATAACAAGCGGACCAATCAGACCCGTGTGAGTATCAGCTGTCACATTGATGTCAGAGTAGTACACCCGGGTCACGCAGTTGGAATCTCCGCCCCCTGGGCCGTTACCATAGGCAACCGTCCAATGGTAGGTAAATGTGTTTCCAGGGGCTACAACAGGCTGGTCGTTACCTTTGACCTTCCACCTCACATCACTACGATTATAACTAAGGCCTTCGGGGTGAAAGGAGTAAGGTCGTCTCCCTTGGTTACGGAAGACGACAGTTAGAGTTTCCCCGACCTCGACCTTAATGATAGGTCCTATGAAGCCCTGCGTCTCCTCATCCTTTGTCTTGGACCTTGGTGTGTTAAATGTAGCGTCGGTGTACTGTACAAATACCAGTTTTTGGTATTTTGTTCCCAAAAAGGTTTCGTTGTTATTTGTGTAGACGTAATCTTTGCTGCAATGTAAGTAAAGTAATTAGATTGAGTCTAGTGATTCAGTGGGAGTTGCTGTGTACGTTAAGCTAATCTACTTTGATATGGGACTCGTGGTAACCAGTGGTCTGTGGTGCCGCGAGTTCCATCCCTGGGGTAACAGGATCCGCAACGCACTGATTCGAATCATCTATTCATACCATTTAAAACCCTTGGTATGTGAGTTCCCATAGTCTGTGTGCTTTATACCATTTTTTTTTAAATTTAGGTAAGTAAACATGGAAACATGTAAAGTTCAAAATCGTCCACATATATAAAGCTTTTGTCTACTTTGAATTGAACGCGGTTTAAAAGAAAACCCTGCAGACACAAATAGAAACTAAAGTTGCAGCAAATTCACTATTTTCCCAGGGCAGGTGTATCCACTAGCCTATATCAAAGTCTAGTTTCCACCCTTGCCATTTCAGGCCTAGTTTTCTGTGCTAAATCAGACTGGCTCGGGAGTGAATTTTGTGGCACATATCGATCGCCAAATCAGAGAACGTTTCACAAAACCAACATCCGGGCTCCGGAAACGTGATCGCTGTTACGACCACAGCCGTCACTTGTCGAATTTGCACTGAATTTTTTCCAAAACTTAAGGGAAGACAAATGTTTTCATTATCTTTCGAAACTTTAATCAGCTCGCCCATGAACTTTTATGTGTTTGAGTACAAACTTCATTGTTTTTTCACTTGAATAGTGAGCAGTGTTACTTGATAGTCTGTGCATCTCCATTATTGTAAGCGCAAAATGTGGCAGCAGTAAATATCTTTACTGTGGTAGTCTGTCATTTTGTTTGTCTGTCAAGGATGACATCTCAAAAAAATCTTTCGTTATCTGATCGACCAGGTCGTCTGGTCGTCTTCCTGAAGCCATTCGAAACAAGAACATCGATCTGAATCTGAATAGATATCGTGTTTTCATGAACTCTACGCGGGGTGGCGCCACGATCAACCCACGAAAAGTAGGCTTGAAATGGCAAGGGTGAACACTAGGCTTTGATAATTTAGTGGACACTCTTGCCTCGTGAAGATGCAAATAATCTTGTATTGGTCTTTTCATCTTCCAACCTCAGAGCTGGAAATCGATGAGAAACGTCGGTGATCTTTCGAGCTTTTCAATTTAACAATACTTAGTAATTTTTAAAGGGGGAATTATCGAGACACGGAAACACAAAATTGCGTGTGGGTTTCACAAAAAATGTAAACGTCTGCAATGCTCTTTACGAAAGACGTCCTCGCAGACTGGCCTCCCACGCCGTGATAAAATTGACAGAACACTTAAGGCGGCGTTAAACCAAACCCACTGCTTCACTTCGAAATATTTCGCAACGGACAGAAAGAGTTTTAGAAAACCGACTCGACTTCCTGGCTATAATTGTCTACCTCCCCGGTATTCCGAAAGGCTCATCTTTGATTGTATCCCTGCCAAGAGGACCGTAGTCCCACAACCTCTCCTCGGCCTGGATGTAGTATGTTCTCTCTGTCGTCGCATGTGGCCGTACCGTATGTCCTGCTTCTCGTGAGCACCTCCGGACATTATACAACGCACTCATACCACTTTCAAAATGGTGGTAGTTGTGACACTGCAAGGCCCAGAAGCCTGTACATAAACAAAAATATTCAACATTATCATCTCTTAATCTATCGTTCATGAACACATCGTCATAACAATGAAGAAAAATACGACAACAGGGGATTGTTTATCGTACAGAAAATCACTGCAGAAAGAGAATAAACCACGAGTGGTTAAAGCCTCTTTAGAGATGTTGATAAAATTGACAAGCGTATTTGTTTTTTATACGCTAAAAAGTTGACTCCATTAATACAATACGTTCTTGGCAATGTCGTTCACTTTATGTACAGGGTGATTAAGTATGGCATTTCCTGACTATTCTCACAAACACCAAAACAGTTGACGGCCAATATCTGTTCCTTTTCTCTCATTACAGATTCTCGCACATCTTTGGATGTTATCCTTTGAACATTGCGTTTATCTGTGTCTAGACACATCTCAGGAACACTATCTCAGGAACAACTACAAAAAAAATAGCCTCGTCCAACGTCATCAAGTTGCAATCGTTTGTTCCAATTTCAAGAAATGACGTCATGATAGAACAACGTTTATCGTGATATAAGCCACGTCTCGTTCTTCACTTTTCTTTGCGATTTATCGCGTAGCTATCTTATAGTCATAATTATTATAAGTAATAGTTATTATAAGTCATAATAAGTCAATTTACAGTGCGCCTAATATCCAATCACCATGTAGTTGCTCATTGTGCTATATATATAAATTTACACATATATATCACAGTAATGGGGATGCAGTTCGCCGAGAACACACTTATAACCAGACTGCAGGCTAAAGTCATTATATGTACAACTAGATATCGGCCTGTTATTTCGGGAACAAGACGTTTTCTTGTATTTACTGAAATTACCTAAACCTTTTGACATTTATATACAAAATTAATGTACTTTAACTAAACACATATGACTCATCACCTCCATGTCCATTCCTTATTGCTGTTGATATTATAGTTATACAATAAGTATTTTTTTAACCTTTTATTCTTATATAATGTGGACAGAATACATAAAAAGCATTATTACATTAAATGATGATATTTGAATCGAAAGTGCAGTGATTGTCAGGAAGCTAAGAAAATAATAAAATATAAAGGTAAACAGTGATCAAAATATAGGAAAAAAATTAACTCCATAAATAAATATATTTGTCAGGACAATCGCAAAATAGATACACTTTATCGATAACAACTTCTCTGTCATCTGTCAAATTCTAAGAATAGCCTATCATAAAATTGACTAAGAATGAGGCTAAAGGATTGAAAATAGGTTTTAGATAAAAATTATGTTGGCTATTTGACGTGGCTGATGCCAGTAATACGCAGTGAAAACAACAGCCAACCAGATGCTCTCATCCTGTCCACAACAGATCTGACGGATTCAGCCTAGATTATTTCAAGTTTGTCGTAATATAGCTGGAATATTGCTGACTGGCCTACACAAGCATCATCATCATCATCATCATCATCATCATCATCATCATCATCATCAGGGGCGGTCGGGTAGCCTAGTGGTTAAAGCGTTGGCTCGTCAAGCCGAAGACACGGGTTCGATTCCCGACATGGGTACAATGTGTGAAGCCCATTTCTGGTGTCCTAGGCCGTGATATTGCTGGGATATTGCTAAAAGCGGCGTAAAACCTCACTCACGCACTCCTCACTCATCATCATCATCATCATCATATCTATAATTGTAACGTACCTTCCTGTGCTGTTGACAAAACCAGGCTCTTCATGCTGCCAGATGTGAGGCCTATGGAACGTAAGTGTTGGCCGTTGTTGACGAAGTTGTTCCCATGGACGTAGAGAGCATGCAGGTCTGCAATAGAGCCCATGCTGAACACATGCAGGCGGACAAGTCTCCCCTGGCACATCGTGATCACGGGGAGGTTGCCGTACATGTAGCCGTTGATAGCTGAACAAAAAATCAGTGGAAGGGAATTGGCTACTTGAACATTATTTAACGATATCAGATCACAGATATATCTGAAGTTTAGGTTGGACTTCTTGGCCAAATTACCTTGTTTTGTTTTGTCTAAAATAACTGCCTGATTGGCCCAGGAACGTACCTCTCATGGTGTTGCTCTCCAAAAACAGAGGATCTGTCCTGTTGATGCGGGGATCTACCCTGGCAAGACGGATGTTGTCCTCGATGTACCAGGAGTAGTTCTCGTCATTGTTGGAGAGGTACAAGAAGTAGTGACCGTCCACGTCTGTCTGGGGACCGAGGCACTAGTCAGTGAATGGCGTGTTCCGACGCACTCAACAACGCATATATCATATATGTAAAAACCTAAATCTGGACTTCGAGACTGAGCTACATGTACAAGAACATGTGTCTTGACGTACAAGACGTGGCACCAACAGTAAGGTATTTTTTTAAACTTAAGGTTCAATGAGTAAGTTTAAAAACACATTTTTGAAATGATACGATTACAAATTCACTTCTTTCGATTTCGGTCGATATTAAATTCTGTATTTGGCTCTCTTTGTATCTTTGTTTGGAACATATAATGACCCGACATTTATTTGGAGAACAAGCGTCTATTTGAGATGTTACCTCTATTCTTCAAAATTAGCTATGACCTGGTTCCCATAGGAGCATACAGTTATAATTCTAGGTCAATAAAATGAAAAACGACCAACGCACAACTAAAGTATTATTGCTGCTATCCATCAAAACACCCATATGTCATCTTTAATATATCCTTCAAAAAAAGAAACACAAAGCAAGATTTGTGTGAGGTAGCAAAATACATAAATTTTATACGAGGAACTGTACAAGGTATTGAGCCAAAATGTTGAGAGAACACTTGGTGATTGTACTACTAGTCATCTCAGTTGTTAGTACATAGGAAAAGTCCAAGGTGATGGTCAGCTACCATCAATATCGCGTATGTCCCCCGTTGGAATCTCTCCATTGCAGTTGAGGCCATACCCTGTGTTAACGACACCAATGCAGTCGTTGTTGACGATGTTGTCGACTCAATATGACGCGTCGAAAAGTTTGCACGTAGAACTGTTGCTCTTTATCGGTTTCGTACGGTCTGGACTGAGATTCTGCGCAGTCCGGGGCTTTGGGATGCGGTTGAGGTGGCTGTGGTCGTCCTTTCACGTAGGTGGCGCAGTCGGATGTTGCGATCTTGGGCGGGGGTGGTTACTCTTGGTCGTCCCGACCTTGGCCGATCACGTGTTGACCCATGCTGTTGAAACCGATGCCTTATGATGGTGCTTGGCGCTACATTGAAAACCCTGTGTACAGCTGATCGGGATTCCCCTGCCTACAAGCGGACCATGACTTTGTTTCTTTTCACTTCTGTTATTCTTGGCATGTTGTTGAACTGTCACTGTTCGATTGACGCTTGACGCACTTTAATACCGTTCGTAGTGCTGCTGCATGTGTAGTCCGTGCAGCTCCATGGCCCTTTTGCACTAGGTGCGTTTTGTCAGAATAGTACGTGTTTTCCGACTAATGGTTTGTATGTCCTTGTTGTGATCATTTTGATCCGGGAAATTGGTCACTGACACTATGACACATTAAACCTCTTCATTTTGCACCTCTTGGTCCGCTAATTTTGGCTTTTATGGCCAAAAATATCCGTATTGCATTTCTTCTTTTTGAAGAGTATATATCAAAATTACGTCGAAAGCAAATATATCCTGAGGGGCGTGTTGCTATCATCTGACTATTATGTGTATTACCCAAAAGTGAATTTTTATTATTATGGTACGGTACGGTACGGTACGGTACGGTATGGTATGGTATTGAATTTTAGGGTGACTTAAATATCACGTTTTTGCAATCTATGATTACCTCCCTTCCATCCGGCGTGAGTGATCCTTCCTTACATATCACCATTGGCCCAACAAGACCACTGGCAATGTCCTTCATTACGTTAGTGCCGGAACTGTACATGCGGGTTAGACATGGACCATCATCCTCTTCCGGTGCAAAGGATCGAGGAACGGACCAGTAGTATTTGACCATTTTCCCCGGCCGTACGAAGGATTTTGTTGTATCTGTGGAATTAATGGACTGTGAGTGTTCATATATAACGACAATGCCAGAGAATAACCAGTTTCGATTATCCGCAGAAACAGATTACGTTGGGCGTAAAGGCTAAATAGCGGTGAAAAGTATATGAATGGATCACTGACCATCAATGATGATACCAAGCGTTCAAGCTATGTTTAAAAAAGGTTAAGTCTCCTCAACAACAGCAATGGTTACGATCTCGATGATCGCGGGGCTACATATGACTCACTCATCTGAGACTCCATAAATTCGCTGTACAGAGTTGCGTCCCTTTTTTTGCTTGGATACACAAGTCAAAGGTTCAAATTTCAGCTTGGCTCTATAATAGTTGATCCTTAGTTAATGGGCAGCATGGCCGTGGTCGTTTGCTTCATCGCTGGTGCCGTTTGGCGCGACGTTGCACAACTAAAATACTTCAAAGCTTTGTCTACACATTCACTACCCATTCACCATTTGATCGATAATGTACATGGTGATGTGCGTGCTTCCTTTTCCTATGTGTTTTTCATAACAAAGGGAGTTAGTGAATTTGGTTTAACGCCACTTTGAACAGTATTTCAGTTATATCACAGTTTCCCTGCTTAGTGACAGAGGGAAGTCTGACGTCGTGCGGTTTATCGCTTGGTGAAACCCACGAGCGAATTGCGGCGCCTTATACGGCCATGCCACCCGTGCCCTTTTCACCACTTAAACTGACCCTGTTGGTAATCCTGGTATAACATCCCTTCGTTCTTCTTGTCATGTCTCACTCCGTTGGGATGGATGGAGTATGGCCGCTGGGCTCTGTTGAGGAAGTAGACTTCAATGGCGTCGCCTACCTGCGCTCTGATTGGTGGCCCTAGGTAACCTTGGTGAGCATCTAGACTGGTTTTTTTCTTCTGCACTCTGAACGTCTTGTCCGTGTACTCTACGTACACCGCCTTCTTGTACGTGCCGCCGATGGAGAAACGGTCGTGTTGGAAATACAGAGCCGCCGATCTGACGTGACAAAAATTTCTCTTTAAGCTACAATTAATTACTAATAGCCACAAGCTTTCTTTTGAATCACTTCCCACCATTCTCATTGAGGTTCAGAAATAGACAGGTATCGTTAAAAAAAAGATGGGTAGACTGACAAACATACAGATTTAACGTAATATATAGATGAAGGAATTTGAATGAGAGAGTAGATATATATTAAATGTCAGTTATGGAATGCAATGACTCATGATGCAAACAGGCTTCACGTATTGTAACAAAATACGGAGTCGAATCCGGATCTTCAGAGCGAAAATCCAAGGTTAAAACATATGGCTACCTAATCACTTATCTATATAATTAATAAATAGATTACTACTTCTGAGTGTTTGAGTGGCACATCGTGACCAATAAAAATACTCATAATAGTAATAGCAACACCAAAAATAATGATGATGATGATGATCATGATGATGATGATGGTGGTGGTGGTGGTGGTGGTGGTGATACACATCTAACACCCACCCTCTGTGTAAACCTGCCCCGTTGTATCTGTCTTTGCCCGAGGGGGCGTAGTTCCACATCACTTCCTCTGCCGCGATGTAGTGGCGCCGCACCTGTTTTGGCCTGAAGACGTTGTTGCCGCCTCCACTGCATTTTCTGACGTTCACGAACGCAGCTGACCCAGCTAAAAACAGGATACAAATGTCCCCTGGGTTTCATACAAATTTAAAAACCACAAATCTCCATTTGATTATAAATAATGAAGATAATCGATCAAATAAGATTATATTATGACGTGTTCTTCTACTGATGCTTGTAGGAGGACATCAGTCCGATTCCATTTTGTTTATTTGTTTAGTTTGTTGAGCTTGTTGAGTTTAATGCCGCACTCAGCAACATTCTAGCTTTATGACAGCTTGACCAGACAATCCAGTGTTTGACATCATGGGCATCGAACTACGCAATCGGGATACGATAATATGCATCAACCAAGTCAGCGAGCCTGACCTCCCGATCCTAATAGTGGCCTCCTACGACAAGCATAGTCGCCTTTTACGGCAAGTATGGGTTGTGAAGACCTATTGTAACCTGGTCTTTCACAGAGGCACTCTGATTGGAACATCATTTTGTTCAGTAATGGCGTGTTGTCCGATTGTCTTTATCCGTCCTATACTGTGAGATGCACACCGTTATATATATGTTCGTCATAGTTGAAATCAATTCTACATTGAACTGGGGACAATCGACAATTTGACACATGTACCTTGTTACAAGATTTATCCGAAAGCAGATGAGGATTCAGAAAATGAAAGAATCAATCATTGTAATAATTATTCCGAAACTGGGCGGTCGGGTAGCCTAGTGGTTAAAGCGTTCGCTCGTCCCGCCGAAGACCCGGGTTCGATTCCCGACATGGGTACAATGTGTGAAGCCCACATCTGGTGTCCCCCGCCGTGATCTTGCTGGAATATTGCCAAAAGCGGCGTAAAACCATACTCACTCACTCACACAATCATTCCGAAACTAGCGGTGACAGTTGAGTCACTCAATCACTCGAAACAACCGTTAGTTAGAAACTACAATACGAGGTGAGGTGAATGGTGAGGTGAGGTGAAATAAGGTTTAACATCGCGTTGAAGATCATTGCACTTATGCAGCCACGTGCATGCACGTGTGTGTGTGTGTGGTTGCTTGTACTAGTCCGGACTGATTCCGATTTATAGTGCTAGCCCACTGTGATTCGATGCCGCAGTTTAACATGAATACCCCCTCAGACACAATATACTGACTCCATCTCGATCAGTCCTTGTTTTAGCCCCCTAATGCTTAGCGCCAGACAGGGTAACAACAAGTACCATCTTTTAACGTCTTTTGGTATGACGCGGCCGGGGAATCGAACCCAGACCATCCACTCTTTGGGCGGATGCTCTACCACTATCAGCCGAATGGATTGCCATGGTCTACGTCTTGTGGTAACAGATGAGACAAAGATTCCCGCGAGTTGATATAAATAACACTTATCAGTTCTGGGCGCGATGGACGACTTACCCTCCAAGTTGGCAAACAGTGCATCGTACAGCAGCCATCTCCCTGGTGTCTGCATCTTCACAGTCGCTGTAGCAAACTGGGCAACCCCCAGACTGACGGAGTTATACCTGGAAGAGTGAGTGAGTGAGTGAGTGAGTTGGGTTTAACGCTGTTTTGAACAGTTTCCTAGTTATATCACTGCGTGTCAGCTTGATGTGGGAGGAAAGCCTGTTTACCAATTTGATGAAACCAACGAGTACGGGTCTTGTGTTTAAAAAAATCGAGAAACATACTCAGGGAGAACCGGGGTTCGAACACACAATTATAGGTTTGTTGCGTGCCTAAGGGACGCAACTCTGCACAGCGAATTTCGGCGCCTGCTCCCACCCGGAAGCCAGGAACGAAAAGTATCATTTATTACCAGACATCGGAACATAGCTCGTTTCGGGTGATTGGAGTACGGTTTTTAACTATTTTAAGCAAAATGTAACAACAGGGTGTGGGTATAACTTTTTCGGACGTGCCCCTGGAAATGTACATGTTTAATTATATAAACATAGATGTCAAACTCATTAAATGAGTGCATGGATTAACGTTTAGCGCCCTGTTGATTACATAGGTTTAATTTTATTTCAAACACATTAATACTGCGGAAGGTTGACAGTGTGAAGAATGAATTGAATATTTACAGTACTTATCTGACAGTTTATACTTACCGAAATAGACAAGTTAGTTTCAGGCGGTACTGTACTCACCGACAAAGGAAACACGAATACCATACATGTTGGTTAAAATATGAAGAATCACTCATATTCAAGAGATATTAGATTGGTTCGACCCACAAACGAACACACTGGCATGTTGTGTGAACCGACGCTCATGAATGCATCTCATGTGACGTCATAGATCAATGACTCGAGATGCACCATTTGTCTCGTGCAGGATTAGCGTGTAATGTTTGGAATTCACGTGCAGCATATCGTAATAAGAATAAAGACTCTGTGGTAACACTTGACTGATTGTTAGTTTTGTCATTAAGTGGTACACATTGGAAACATGTTTTCTTAACGTACATATTTCTGTATGTTTTTTATGGTTCGCGTTTCTTTTGGCGTTGAGTATATTTCGCGTTTTTCTCCATAGAAACTCACCTATGAGTGTCGAAAAAGGAATGTGACGCGTAACGTACCTCAATCATTCATGGAGGACACGTTACCAAGATCTCATCGATTCCCCTTACTTGTTACTTTAATATTCACCGTAGAGGGTAATTCTACCACAGACGAGCAGTGGGAGAGCCCAGTGGTTTAAATGTTTGCTCGTCACACCGAAAGCCCAGGTTCGATTCTTGATAACGGTACAGTTCCGTCCCTCGCCGTGGTATTGCTTGTATATATTCCGAAAACGGCGTAAATCTATACGCACTCTACCACGGAGGATGTGCTGATGTCTACCTGTGCTTGAACTGCTTGAAGGAGTGGCCACTGAGAACCATCTGGTGGATATCGGTAGCGTGTCCCATGGTTGCAAAATGAAGGGTGACCGTTTCCCCCTCACAGAAGTCCAAGCCGGGCAGGTTCCCAAACACGAAGCCGTTGATGGCGTGCATGGCGTTGAACGTCTTGAAGGATCGAGTGCTGCGGTTGGCATGAGGGGCAAACATCTCGACGTTGTCATCGATGTACCAACTGAAGTTCTCGTCCACGTGACTGACGTAGATGGCAACGTGGCGGTTCTTTAGATGTTTCGTCAGAGTTCCTAAACAAGTAAACGGAGCAAGGTGTTGAGTTCCGCCTCTCACTTTGTCAAGCCATAACAATAAGTTGTCGGAATTGGCATTTTCTATTTTCCAAAAAATATATTTATTTAGTTACTTTATTCTGTCGTAAACACCTGGTATCATCACTAGTTGACAGTGATAAATAAATGCATGCTCATGATGTCGGAATCGTGCAATCGACTCTACTTTTGGTAGAGATTTACTGTGAATATGGTAGGGGTTTTGTGGATTTTATTTACCTTTCTAGCTATTGTGATGAGATATATACGTCTAATATCCTCCTGGCAAAATACCCCGTTGATGTGAAACATGTGCTTGTGCTTGTTGGTTTCACCAAAGTGGTCTGAAACCTGCATCACTTTAAGCTTTCTTCCCACATACTGTTCAAAGCGGCGGCAAAACATACTCATTCAAGTAATATATGGCTAAGCGGGTGGTGCACATGGTACTGTGTTTATAACTAAATTATTCTACAAGTGTGTAGTATTTCTGTGTGCAGTGTTTACCTGGCCTGCAGACGTACACGAAGCCCACGAGACCGCTGTTGATGTCCAGGGTGGTGTCGATGTGGGAGTGGTACATCCAGGAGACGCACTCCTCACCCCCCAGCGCCGGGCCCGACTCCTCGGTGATGTTCCACGTGTAGGTGTAGTTGTCGCCGGGTTTCACCAGATCGGCCGACGTCGTCACGTTGTGGTAGCCGTCGTTGTACAGCGCGCCTGCGTTAGAGAGCATTGTTCAAGTACGACTTATACCACAGGCCGTGATATAACTGGAATACTGTTACAAGCGGGGTTAAAACTCACTCACACTCACTATACCACAGGTTATAGGGTTTATAGTATTGATGAATTTATCATTATATATGCCACGTTAGAAAAACTCGGTAAAATCTTCAGTAATCGTCCGTCTGCTGTTTGTCAACTCTTTCTTGACATGCGCACTTGTTACGGAAGTAATGATGCAGAAAACAATCTGCTCGGTATACAATGGACCCATCTCACCTACCCTCGTTTGTTTTATTGTACGTTGCTCCGTGGGCATGTACAGAATACACTCTCGAGGCTCTGTTTATAAAGTGGATCTTCACTGTGTCTCCGACTTCGGCCTTCAGGATTGGTCCCAGGAAACCAAGCCATGTCGGCTTTGGTTTCTCCAGCGTGAAGGTGGCGTCAGTGTATTCCCGAAACATTGCCTTCTTGTACACGTGGCCCAGGCGCTCCCGGCTTCTTCCGAGGTAATCCTGCGCTGAGCTGGAGGCGTTGTTTCTACAAGACAAGCATGAAATACTCATATCCCTGCCAATATGACATGTCCAGTTGTGTGCAAGGCAAGAAATATTGTACGGTTTTCAGGATCTGCTCCGGAAACGGGCACTACCGACATCTTCAGTCTACGTCAAAGTTGTCATGGGAAATCCCAAACAATCAAAAGGCACCGGTTCACCACTAGACCTATGTGCCAAGTTTGGTTACGATATCTCTTATGGTATTTGGGTTCTGCTCCGGAAGCGAAACGTGACAGTTGAGCGGGCAGGAGGGACAGCACCCATTCCTATATTCCCCTTCCACTTTGTGGCGGGGGATAATAAACCTGTTTGAACACAATGGACGCAACGATGTATCGTATTCTGAATCATTACGAACAAAGATATTTTGTTAAATTTGACAATCAATCGTTTGGGACATTGAAACTGTTAAGGTGTGTTAAGAAAGAATCCAAAGTTCACGTATGCATCAGCATCAGCGTCTGCAACCCTACCGAGAGGTGACGCTGTGAAGATGATTCGTAAATGTAGTGACACTGCTCAAGATGAAACCAACCTTTCACCTCAAAATTACTTTTGCTCACGCAGGGAGAGACACCAGGGTTACAAAACTCAATTTGTCATCAATGGCAGAAGAAGAGGGGGCTTATAAAAGGAGAAGTTGCACTGTAAAAGATGTGTTCAGAATGAAAACACGAACAATACATACATTTAATCACTTGTCTTTAATTGAATATTTCCGCTGTCAACAGCCGTTGACAGAGTAGACACGGTGGCATGTAGAGAGTTTACTATGATCGTTATTTCACTATAAGCGTAATCGTTATCCATCAATTATATATTACAAAATATACAGCCAAAGGCCGGGATCCCCAAAACAGTTCGTTATATCCGACAGTTCGTTATACGCGTGTTCGTTATACATGTTGTTTATTGTATTTAGATCAAAACATGTTTAGAAATGTGTTTTAAATCCTATACGGAATACACATTTGATGTTTTTTATCCAAACACATGATCATGAAAATGAGCTATCGTCTCACAGCCTAAACACCACCTAAACACAACATGCCAATAATCTAAACATGTTTACAATTTAAACACATTTAAACATGTTTAAAGATTAAACTTGTTTAGAATGTAAATTTGTGTAAATAAAGAACATATCATTAGGAAATAAGTCAAATATGGATAAGACGCGTAATATATATTGAAATTAGATATGAATATCAGATAAACAGGCACTTTCATAACACACATACCACCAGGACTAACAAGAATCTTGGAACAATATTAACATAAAAATGTACAAATAAACCGAGCTCGGTTAATGGTGATAACGAAAACTGACACTTGTTAGGATAACAGTTTTCGTAGCAGAGGTAGTAGCGTAAAGGACTACAAATCAAAATATTGCAGGTTCGTATCCTGCCGAGGTCTTTGTAAATGTGACAGGAAGTATTTCTCTCATACAGGAAGCTAAAACGAAAGTATATCTGATAAGTATGATATACCCTAGCCTATTTTTAGTTACCCCGATTCCCCAAATTAATCCATTTATATTACAACCAAGAGCTTTTATCCAGTATACACACACACTTCTGTATCCCTACAAAAGCACTGGATTGTCTGGTCTAGAATCGATTATTCACAAACCGCTCTCATACAGCTGGAATATTGCAGCGTTAAACAACAAACAAACAAACGTTTCGAATCACATTGAAATTACTATTGTACCTTCCCTTGCCACCATTATCAGACACATGACGCCGACAAAAGTGTGAGTACAATCCCCGGTTGACGTTTTATACAAATGTGACGTTTTATACAAATATTATATAGATAGTTATATAATGACCTACCTCCAAGTTGAAACCATGTCTCTTCCGCCCGGTGCAAAGTCCCACAGCCCCTCTTCAGCACTGATGTAGAAATGTCTCTCAGTCGCATCACTGGCTGCGTAGCAGCAACACACAACCAGTATATACTTCAACATGTCTGCATGTGATCTTTGGCATACAAGTATTCATGCAAGTATTATAATACGTGCTACGCGATAGGATGGATTTCCAAACGATCATATGAAACGGTGGTTGTGTGAAATTATTCTTTTCCTCGTATGGAGCAACTGGTCATACGATGAGTACTGTTGTTCGGTTATTAAGTGAGCTGAACCCCTCACATTCACCCTATATGATAATTTAATCTTGTCTTCATCAACAATGACACTTCCCGTCTTCCTTTTCAACCTCTAAATGTTTGGTTGTATTACGCGGTATATAAACCACTCAGAGAAACAGACAGTTTTATTGAAGCTTGAATAATGCCGAATGCCGAAGATTTAATACATAAATATTAATAAGGGTTTTTTTCTACAGATAATTTGGATTATATATTCAGAGGGACAATTTGTTTGACCACAGGAAATCTCTGCCAAAGCAGAGTTCATTGTAAGATTCCGACAATATCCTCAGCCTGGGTTTATGAATCAATATCAACAAATGATGATACCAGGTGTTCGAGAAAAGGTGAGCGTATCCTGACCCACCGGTGTCACCCGTCACAAACACATGCAACGGCAAGTCAAATGTTCACCTGAAATATGTAGGACAGGTCAAAATAAGGAATAAATTGCATCTGACACCATTTTTTTTTCTCTGATGCGTCAGATTTTGAAATATCCTCAACATGTCTACCATAAATGTTTTTGAAAGTTTTACTGCGGCCTTGAATGTCGTAACCTTAATCGAACAACTTCTGAGCAAGCGTCGTATGACGCTCTTAAAAGTCTTAGTAAAAATAGCATACTCAACTGTCCCTGAGAAGTTGTCAAATGTAGACACCAAAGGCTGGAAACGGCCATAGGTAGTTCAGAAGAAGGAAACTGACTATTTGATGGTCATTGAACGATATCAGATCATCGATATACCTGAAGCTTAAGTTTATGTTCTTGGCCAAGTACCTTGATTTGACTTAGCTAATCCGAGCAGAAATTCCGAAAGAGATCAGCAAGAAGGGAAGCACAATTGGTGACCATGGGGATGCCTACTTCTTGCCCAAATTTTACAAAGATGTTCAAAAGTCCAGCATTTCACATAATATTTTCTCAGTAAGCTTCGGATGACATTTGCTTTCATTTTTTACAAATTGCCCTGAACCTCTGAAGATAGATATGTAACAAAATGCATGGCCACTGTCTTATCCTGTTGTGATATATACAAGTGCGTGCTATACGTTGAAGCCATTCCTTTTGTCATACAGTCTTGTTGAGGGTTTTTGCCACTCTGAATAAAATATTCTTATATGGTAGTGTGTTTCATTGTTTAACAGTGATTGTAACTGTGTTGCATTGTTTCTGTTGAGATTCGGTACAAGCTCGTTGCATTGTGTTTGGGCAGTGACCAGTCGTCAGAAAGTTTCTATAATTAAATGCTAGTGTGGTGTGTACCGCGAACGGCGACAGTATGTTATAGAAACATATGGAAAGTTCTGTAGTGTTCAAGTGCTGCTAATCTGGTAAGGGCACAATATGGAAACTTCCAGTAGCTTGCTAGGCTGTATATATAGCGGGACAAGAGCCTGTTTACGTATCTCTCACATATTTCGTCTCTCATGCTTTTCATCGCATCGTTTCATGTGAGGATCGCTCATCATGTCTGATTCCCTGCCTAGTCAATCTCAAAAGCTTGACCACTGTCCCCACTGGGTGAATATGTTAATTTATCACTGATTTTTGCTATCACCACTTTTTTTATGTTTCTGATACTGACTGCTGTCATCATGTTATTATTTGCCATTGAATATTGAACTGATTTGTAAACATTTTGTAATACATTTGTTCATTGTGTCTACTTGGTGGTTGTTTGTTGGTTTCACACTAACATTTCTGGGTTTAGATATTGTGTCAATTTGGGAATCGACACGTAACGATATGAGTAAGTGAGTGAATTGATACCGTCGTTTTAACAGTATTCCAGTTATATGACAGCGTGTCAGCTTAGTGTGGGAGAAAAGCCCAAAGTGATGCAGGTCTAAGGCATTTACCACTTTGGTGAAACCCACAAGCACGGCAAACTCAGAAACATAACTTGGGCGAACCAGGATTCGATCCCACGATCACAGGTTCCTGGCGTGCCCAAGGGACGCAACTCTGGACGACGAATCGGAGCGCTTAAGACGACTGGGCCACCTGTGCCCCGATCTAAATGTGACAGACAGACGGACAGAAGTTTTTTATTCGATCAACAACTAAAATAGGACATCAATAAAAATATTAAATTCATTAGCAAAGCATCACAAATTATACGCTTACTCAGCATTCAACTGATGCAGTAGCTCTGAAATACAAAGAATAACCTATCCATAGAAAAGAGTCATGTATTGACGTCATCAGGTTGCTGTTTGTCTGTCCATGATTTGGTACATGCCTTCCATTCCGGCCTTGATGTGGTTGTTGACATGGCAGTGGTACAACCACCGGCCGGTATTTATTGCACGCATGCGTACAGTTACGAACATTCCCGGGAAGATCTGAGTGACGTCATTTTTCCTGTCCGTGTCACTGAACTCAGTAACAAGGTTGCCATGGAAATGAATGGAATGAAGGTCAAACTGTGACCCCAGAGACAACAGATACCATGCAACCTCTTCATCTTTATACATCGTTGGTATTGGCTGGTTTCCGTAGAGGAAGCCATTTATAACTGCAATGTACAAATACAAGTTGAGTGAGTGAGTGAATTTGGTTTAACGCCAAAGTGTCAGCTTAATGTTTGAGGAAAGCCCGAAGTGATGCAGGTCTTTACCAATTCGGTGAAACAAACGAGCAAGAGTATGGTGATGACAAACCTAGAAACATAATCGGGGCGAACCGGGATTCGAACCCACAATCATAGGTTCCTGGCGTGCCCAAGGGACGCAACTCTGTATAGCGAATCGCGGCGCCTTAGACGACTGGGCCACCCGTGCCCCCAGATACAAGTAGAATTAGTGATACAGTGAATTCATCATTCGTAACCATTCGCCCCTAACACGAAAAAGGTTCGTCCCCCCAACCCTATTATTCAAAATGTTATGCTAGAAATCTCGAGAAACCAGTCAAAATGTGCCTATGACTTGAAGTCCCTCCTGAATGTTTATGTGTGCTTTGTATCTAAAAACATATCAAAGTTGCAGTTTTTCTCACGATGTTGACTAAGGTAGAAAATATTTATGTAAACATACAAAGGCGGGTGTAGATCAACAAGTTGACTCTTTTAATCGCTATGCCCGTTGGCATAAAGACGGAACCTTTATGATAAAATGACCACGAGAGGAGCACGTGTCGCTATTCATTTTATCCCGGAATGACTCTCTTGGTCACGAGGGGCGGTCGGGTAGCCTAGTGGTTTAAGCGTTCGCTCGTCACGCCGAAGACCCGGGTTCGATTCCCGACATGGGTACAAAGTGTAAAGCCCATTTCTGGTGTCCCCCGCCGTGATATTGCTGGAATATTGCTAAAAGCGGCGAGAAAACCATACTCACTCACTCACTCACTCTTGGTTCCGAGCAATGTGGGAGGTTCTTGAATCGTTTCGTCGTCCTAGACATATTACAGACGTCGTTGGTTAAACCCTGTTAATCCGAACGCCGCTTTTGCAAGTGAAGTCACGATGCATAAGAGAATCCTGGGCCCGTTGTAACGTTTTCCGGAAAGCGAGTTCCTGACACACGATTTCATGACGCCAAAGCAAATATTAATTATAACAATTCAACTTACCGTGCATTCTGTTGCTGTTTGTAAAATTCTTGTTATGACGATCCACCAAATCTGGTCGTGGTGAATAGGTAGCGATATTCTCTTCAAGGTACCAACTAAAGTTTTCATCCAACACTGTAAAATACGCTACAAAATCCCTATCGACGTCCGTTCTTTTTCCGTATTTGTCCAAAATCCCACTTTTGCATATGACAAGAGGTCCCACAAGTCCCGAGTTGGTGTCTTTCATGGCGTCGACATCCGAGTAGTACATCCGGGACACACAAGGGGCGTCGGATGGCCCAGGACCGTCATCTTTTGTCACTTCCCACTGATAGCTGAAAGTCTTGCCGGGTTGAACAATACCCTGGTCGCGTTGCTTGGGCATCCAGGGGCCGAGCCGGGCAGTGATACTCTGTAGTCCTTCCGGGTGAATGGAATATGGACGCTGACCTTTATTTCTGAACCTTATTGTCAAAATGTCCCCGACTTCCAGATAGATCACGGGTCCCAGAAAGCCAAGATATGCCTCGTCTGACTTGCGCTTGACTGGGTACCTGAAGCTCTTGTCCTTGTATTGTTTATAGAACATTTTCTTGTATTTTGTTCCCATTAAATACCCTGTATGGTTTGTGTAGACGGTCCCTCTCCTGAAAACGGTGGAACAGATGCCATTAGCAAACGATCACAGTGATTCAATGCGCCAAGTCGCCAGGAAGTGACTTAATGGCAGTAGTGAGTGAGTGAGTGAGTATGATTTTACGCAGCTTTTAACAATATTCAAGCAATATCACGGCGGGGGACACCAGAAATGGGCTTCACACATTGTACCCATGTCGGGAATCGAACCCGGGTCTTTGGCGTGACGAGCGAACGCTTTAACCACTAGGCTACCCGGCCGCCCCCTTAAAGGCAGGAAGAACTATGTACATGTTTTACCAGGATAGCGGAATACTGAATGTCAGTACAATTAATTAAAAGAAACAGTTAGTAAAAACGCAACTAAGAATAATTGTTATGCCTGAATCGATCTGGTTGTTGTGCAGACTTCTTTATTAATTTTACAATATTTCCATTAAGTGGAGTGAGTGAGTGAGTAGTGCTTTACGCCGCTTCTAGTAATATTCCAGCAATATCATGACGGGTGACACCGGAAATGGGCTTCACACATTGTACCCATGTGGGGATTAGAACCCGGGTCTTCGGCGTGACGAGCGAACGCCTTAACCACTAGGCTACCCCACCGCCCCACATTAAGTGGATGTAGAGTTAATTGATCTATTTACTTTAATCTGGATAAGCCCGGCAATTCTTTCTTTGAACTGTTGAACCTTCACTGACAATTTTAAACGCCTAACTTACAATTTTAAAGCAGGGTCTGTTATCTAATATAAACCTGTTCCCGATCACAACCCTGGGCCAGAGCCTTCTCCTGTTCAACAATACTTGATCTTATAAACCTCTCAGTGTGCATCTCATAGCCTGAGATTAGAGATGTTATATTTCAGTGGATCGAACTTGCAACCCTCGTATCTGTAGCCAAGTGTTGATGAATGTTCTTTGCGATTTGTCTTTCGGTTTATAAGTAAAATACATCACTTCCCTTCGGATAAAACACTTCACCTTGCGTTTTTATGAGACTTAAAACCATCGGACGTGTTTTATCCTTCACACAACATCTTTAGCCAAATACAAATCCCCTACTCTCGGTAATGAGGTTCGTGGTGTTCTGTAGAAAGTGGCAGAGGATGCGGGAGACACGGACTCAGCTCCCATAAAGTACGCTGACAATGATAGCTGGTATACTGTTTATTTGACTTGACGCTATTCAGATATGTACCCGTTAATTAAAGTACTTGGGACCAGTTCTTACCCAGAATGCCCAACAGGCTTACCCTAGATAGGACGCCATCGAGAGACTATGACACCAAAGTCTTAAAGGAGGAATTGGTCGGGTGAATCGGCAGACCCATCATGTAAGCTTCGTGTGATTTAAACACGGCTTTCATGGTAACTCTATTAGTAGTAGTAGTAGTAGTAGTAGTAGTAGTAGTAGTAGTAGTAGTAGTAGTAGTAGTATACTTGTTGATTACCCTAATAACAAAGAAACACTGGCATAATTTCAACAGGGCCTACTTCTAATGTCTAGCCCACTTTCACAAAGCGATCTAAGCGCTACGAAATATTGTAAGCCAATGTTAAAGTATGGGAGTATCATCTTAGCGCTAAGATCGCTTCGTGTGCAAAGAATCCGGTCGTGAAGCACCTCCCCCTTGACAGGTACATGTCCTGGGTACCGCCCCCGCCAGGACGGCATCACATGGCCGACTCGTCCCGTCCCCCGGGCTCACCTGTCAGGTGTGATGAATGGCACCCCCTGCACCATGTCCATGTGATGTGGGGTGTAGTCCCACACGCCCTCCTCCGCCTGGAGGTAGAAGATCCTCTCCCGACCCCTATGGACACGAGGGGAGAGGGTGGGATACCGAACGGGGCACTCCGTCACCTGGTACATGGCGCTCATACCCTTCAAGAAGTGGTCGTTGGAGTGGCACTGTAAACCCCACGTGCCTGAAAGAGTTAGGTAATGAATAAAAGACATAGTTCTACTTCTACTTCTACTCACCGTTCACCTCCACTCAGAGGTGGTGGTGAAATGGGGTTCAACGTCGCGTCCAAGATTATTGCACTTAAATAGCGACGTGCATGTACGTGTGTGTGTTTGTGTTGCTGCTTGTACTAGTCCGGACTGATGCCGATTTATAGTGCTAGCTCACTGAGATACCATTCCGCAGTTTAACATGAATACCCCACTCAGACACAGTATACTGACTCCGAGCCGACCAGTCCTTGTTTAAGCCCCTAATGCCGAGCGCCAGACAGGGTAACATCAAGTACCATCTTTTAACGTCTTTTGGTATGATGCGGCAAGGGATCGAACCCCGGACCTTCCGCTCTCCGGGCGGACGCTCTACTACTAGACCACGGAGGCGGTCACCTCCACTCAGAGTCCCGTTTAACGTTATCAGAACACAGGGGTATACGGTTTTACCTCACAGAGACTGATACAACACGCAATGTTGGTTATTGTTCGTTTGTTTGTTTATAACGCGACAGTAAAATGCCAGCTATATCCCCGCTGTCTGTAAATAGACTTGGACCAGACAAACCTGTGGTTGATATTATGAACAACATGCGACCTCGTCGGGGTAGGGTGACATGCAAAACGTTAAGGCTAGTAACCTTAATCTCCACCTACGACAAACTTGAGGTACTGGGGATCTATTCTGATCCCGGATCCCATGGGATACCACACACCGTTACGTCTGTCAGACACCAATATTGACATAACATCGTAAAGAATACAAACAAATAAGCATAAATTTGAATAATTATTGCAGTTCCGTACCTATGTTTCTTGGCGACATGATGAGAGTCTTCAGGGCCCCGGATATCATCCCCGTGGATACTTTGTGCTGGTGGTGGTTCTCAAACATGTTACCATGGAAATAGAGAGTATGGAGATCTATATCCGTTCCCAGGTTGAAGGCGTACCAGCGTATCACCTCCCCCCTACACATCGCCAGGCCCGGCACGTTCCCGTACATAAAGCCGTTAATACCTATGCAACAAGCACTAGAATTTCATCAATTAGAGAGAAAACAATTTGTAAATTAGGGAAAAGAGTAAATTAGGGAAATACTGTTTCACACCACAGTGTTATTACAACCACATCATGTCTCCATGGCAACAGTCAGAACCAGGCAGGCTAGTGGTTGATAGCATGAGCATCCATTCAGGTCATCTGGTTTAGGTGACACACAACCAAACACTGTTACCATCAGATCCTATCATAATCATATTATTTACAGTTGGTTCCACATGAATGACGATACATTTCGAAAGAAAGGGAAGGTGAGGTGAAATGGGGTTTAACGTCGCGTCCAAGATTATTGCACTTATATAGCGACGTGCATGCACGCGTGTGTGTGTGTGGCTGCTTGTATTAGTCTGGACTGATGCCGATTTATAGTGCTAGCCCACTGAGGTACCATGCCGCAGTTTAACATGAATACCCCACTCAGACACAGTATACTGACTCCGAGCCGACCAGTCCTTGTTTTAGCCCTTTTAATGCCGAACACCAGACAGGCTAACAACAAGTATCATCTTTTAACGTCTTTTGGTATGACGCGGCCGGGGATCGAACCCCGGATCTTCCGCTCTCCGGGCGGACGCTCTACCACTAGACCACGGAGGCGGTCCTCCGAAAGAAAAGAAAACTAGCTACAGTCAATATGTTTTATGTGGAATATGTTCAATGGAACGGCACATACGTTAGGTGAAGACGGTGATAAATATAAAACGCCAAGGCGAGAGCCATCTACATCTTCCAACGAAACATATTCGATTTGGAGTTAAAGGCAAAGTGTCGGTGAAACATTATGTGAATGGGTGACTGAAAAATCAGAGTTAGCCAAAAAGTTAAGTTTGTCACCCGTCTCTCACACAATTTGCATAACGAAGTATGTATTTGTTGCCTGACAAACCCTTCATTTGAACAAAAATACAAATGAGACACATATAACATTATGATTGATGATCATAAAGGACATTCAGTAAACTACGGTTAAAGTCAAAGGGACCGCTAATTTTACTTTGTTATAACCGCAGTTCGTTATAAGCATATCTACAGCACATAAACAGCAAATAGCCGGGACCACAAATAAGTTCGTTATATCCGTCAGTTCGTTTTAAGCGTGTTCGTTATAAACGTAGTTTACTGAACAGAAGGACAATGTGGTAACTGCCTCTTCACTAATACAGAAACACAGGTGCTGCTCTCAATAGTGATTGGCCAACGTGGAAAGCTACTTACTGGACATCCTATTGGATTCCAAGAACTGTCCTTCCGAGCGGTTGACTTTGTGGTCGACCTTCGCCAGTTTTATGTTGTCTTCCAGGTACCAGGAGAAGTTCTCGTCCACGATGGAGAAGTAGAGGAAGAATTCGCGAACTGCTGTTCTCTAGAACAGAGAGGAAGAAAAACTCTTAAGCCGCTGTTCTCTAGGACACAGATGTAGAGAGAGGAAGAGTGAGTTAAGATTTAACGTCACATCGGCAGTATTTCAGCCATATCATGACAGAGAGAGGAAGAGGAAGGGGTTGTAAACCGCTGTATGCAGTAGAGCAGAATCGAAGAGGAAGGATTCCTGGCATCGTCCCTATAGCGGTGTGAAATACAAGTCACTCACGTTAAAAGATGGTACTCGTTGTTAGTGGGCTAACTATAAAGTCGGTATTAGTCCGGGAAAGGTCAAGCAGCCACACATACACGCGTGCATGCACTTCGCTATATGAGTACACTAATCCTGAACGTTACTTCCCATTTCACCTCACCTAATTTCTTCTTTCTTCCTTTCATCATCGCCAGTTACCTTCTTTATTTCTCCTTTCCTGCAGACAACAAGGGGTCCCACCAATCCGCTGTAGATGTCGTGCCCGATGTCGGTGCCGGACGTGTAGACCCGGATGACACAGTTGGGGTCGTCCGTCTCCGGTCCGAGGTACTCGGGCACCTTCCAGTAGTACGTCTGTACTCGCCCCGGGGGGACGAACTTTTTGGACGTCTCTGTCAGAGGAGCGTACGATGTGGTTTGAAAGTCAAGTGATGGACAAGGTCACCTACACACCATGATAATACAGTAAACTGAGGTTATAACGAACACAAAGGGGCCACTAAGTTTAGTTCGTTATAAGCGTAGTTCCTTATTAGCATATGTGTAGCATATATACAGCTGTGGCCGGGACAAAACAATAAGTTCGTCATATCCGTCAGTTCGTTATAAGCGTGTTCGTTATTAATGGCACTTCCAACTGTGTGTTTATTACTCAATTGAGTAGTGACGGCTTTGGTCACTTATGCGTTTACCATCACACCACGTAGACAACGATGCAAAGCTAAAGCAGTTGTGACATTTTAAGGTGAGAGATCCCCTTTTTATATCTACAATGAACTACGGTTATAATTATAACGAACTAAAATGGACCACTAATTTTAGTTCGTTATAACAGTAGTTGGTTATAGGCATATATACACCCGATATACAGCAAATGAACGGGACCCCAAAACAGTTCGTTATATCAGTCAGTTCGGTATAAGGGGGATCGTTATAAACGTAGTTTACTGTACTTATATCGACAGAACAGAAGGTCACAACTCTTGTGACACCAACGATGGCGATGGTTGTGACAAACCACGAATTATCATCCGGAGTAATCTAGAATTAGATTCAATCATCTTCCTTTTGTATTCCGGCACTAGCATATATATTACCTGGGTGGTTGTCGTTATACAACATCCCTTCGTTGTCCTTATCACACTGCACACCGTGTGGATGTAGCGAGTAGGGCCGACTCGCCCGATTCAGGAAGTGTACTTCAATGGCGTCCCCTACCTCCGCTTTAATGACGGGACCGAGAAAACCAAGGTGTTCTTCACTCGGGGACCGCTGTTTCTGTATTTTGAACGATGTGTCCGTGTACCCAGTGAAGACGGCCTTCTTGTATGTGCCGCCGATCCTTGTACGGTTCTTCTCGAAATAAATTTTAGATCTCCTAGGAAAGACAATGAACAACTAATACAAAATTAGTACATTAAATTACATGTGAAAAACAGATGTTTGCATTTACTGATTTATTTATTTTAGCAATAGCGCTTTCCCGTCAACGATTTCCACATTTCTCAACTATTCCTGAATAGGACATCGCCGTATTGTTTGAGATCAACAGTTTTAGGCCGGTTAATACCAATATTAGAAAAATGTATATTAGTAAATGCATCAGAAATGACAGTGCAGTAAACATATTCATAAATATCACGAACACTCAAAATACACAAACAATAAGTGATCTCTGTTTATAACTATTCAATGTGCAAAAAATAAGAAATGTGTTCAATACCACTTAATTACCTATTTTCCAAGAATACTACAACGATATGTGTGTATGGGTATGTATGTATATATGAATGTATGTGTGTGTGTATATATGTGTGTGTGGATGTAAAATAGCGCTAAGAAATGAGACCTTCATATGTCTGTATTTTAGGCCACTGGCCTCTATACTGAATAATTTGTCTTGTCTTGTCAATACCTAACATAAATATTTTTCATAGATGAAGACAATAATTTGATGGTTCTTTGAGGTCCAAACCTAAATGCCCTGAACTATTTTTGATCTGTGAGTTAACGGAACCGTGTATCCATAACTCAGTAAAAAGTACTGAGTAAAAGTTATTTGAATATAATATCGATTCCATCAATTCTGTGAACTACTTTCATTGGAACTATTAGGTAGCTTACCCGTTTCGTAATGTCCCTCCTTCGTATTTATTTGTGTGGGAGGGGGCATAATTCCATAGAATCTCCTCTGCAGCTATATAGTAGCGCCGGACATTTCGAGGTGGCACCATCTTGGGTTTAAACCGGATATGGCTGCACGTCCCGACATTGAAGAAGGCGGTCATGCCATCTGGAAGAGTCGTGATGTATTATTGATGGGAATATATGAATAAAAATATGTTTCTATTTTACTTCCAAACAGCAATACGAGTGAAATATACGAAAGTGCGAAGAACTCCTGTGAACCGGATAAAGAGTTTGATATATCCGGAGTTCGACACATCCGACTGGGCAATGTAACCAAGAACTAGGTTGATCTGGGATGTATGATTCCATATAACCACCCTGATATAACCAAAAGCGAAGTGTGACAAGAACTCTGTGTGGCCGATTGGCAATGCATAGTATAATAGAAATTGTCAACGCCAGAAAATAACCAGTCTCGATTATCTGCCGAAACATATTCCATTGTGCCGAAAAGGCACGAATAGCGGAAAGTGATATGAGTGTATGAAAAATTTATAAAAATCAGTGATGACACTAGGTATTCGCAGAAGATTTAATTATGAAAATATATACATATCACTCACATCTAGTCCTTTCTCAATCCACCAATGTCACATTTTGGACCAAGGAGTGAGTGAGTGAGTGAGTTGGATTTAACGCCGCTTTTAACAGTATTCCAGCTATATCGCGGCGTGTCAGCTTAATGTGGGAGGGAAGCCCGAAGTGATGCAGGTCTTAGACGTTTACCACTTCGGTGAAACCCATGAGCAACCAAGAAACATAATCGGGGCGAACCGGGATTCGGACCCACAATCACAGGTTTCTGGCGTGCCCAAGGGACGCAACTATGCACAGCGAATCGCGGCGCCTTTGACGACTGGACCACCCGTGCCCCCTTTGGACCAAGAACATGATGAAGTAATGATATAATATGTAGGGCTGTGATGATGGATCAGTCAGATCCTACGGACTCTTAACAAGGCCATTAAAGATGATGATTATGTATATACGTATTTACGTACATTTACGACACTACACCCCTAACCACTTTTGTAAACTACCGGGACTACCATATATTACTCACCCACAAAGTTTGCCATGACCTCATCGTACAGCAGCCAGCGCCCCACGGCCAGCGCCTTGACCGTCACCGTGGCGAACTGGGCCACCTCCAGGCTGATGGAGTTGCGACTGAAACCCACAGCATTATCCGCTCTCTTTTACACTGATAGCGATGGGGTGTGTCGCAAATAACAAATGTCATCATGCATGTCTTTAGAAAGTATAATATTCTGTAACACCTTGGAAATATGAGTCGCTAATTACATATTAATCATAAAATATAATACATTTTATTAATTTGTATCCTGTAGTCATTGTTTGACAAAACCTTTTTGGTTTAGTTTACCAGCTGACACCCAAGTACAAGGCGGTGGGGTAGCCTCGTGGTTAAAGCGTTTGCTCGTCACGCTGTAGGCCCTGGTTCGAGTCCCCACTTGGGTATAACTCACTCACTCACTCCTACCTTGGGGAATATGCAGTGTCCCTTTAACAGGGCCAATTTGCACAAAGCGATCTTAGCGCTAAGATGATCGTAACTCCCATACTATAGCATAGTCTTACAATAGTCTTAGCGCTAAGATCGCTTTGTGCAAGTGGGCCCAGATCTTACTATCTAGGATATCTTTGACATTTATCAAACATTAGTTAATGCCATGTTTAGATATTCCGGATATATGAAAATAGAGAAGGTGTGGTGCTTTATTTTTTCACGGCGTATGTTTTGAAAATGCTTGGGTTACACTTGGGTTTTGTCAGCACCGTACCCGTGATCCCGTGTCACCAATGCGATAAATGTCTAGGAACTGCATAAACGCCGCGATATGAATAATTATATACTGGTAAAATGGGGTCAAATCCAACTCGCTCATATTTGAATATGTTCGTTATTATTCAACGTAAAAGCTGTAACTATTAATAGACACAGAGGGAGTACTATGGTTCGTGTGTCATAAATCTTCATAAAAGCACAAATTATTAGCTGAACTGTTTCGTTCCACAAAGCAACTCTACGGCGTCCGCGTCTTCTATGATTTATTGAAGCTGTTAAAGTCGCACCACATAGATCTGATTCTTGAACTGAAGTCTATTCTGCATAAACGAAATTTAATTCAAACACCGTGTAGAGGCAGTATAAATAAATATATTCTATGCACACGGCGAATACGTTACAAAAAAACTGAAGCATTTTAGACATTTCCCAATGTACTGTTAACCCTTTCTCGCCGATTCACTCAAATCAGTTAATATACCATTAAATTAATTATGGGGTATTTTTCATTGTAGGTGAGGTGAGGTGAAATGGGGTTTAACGTCGTGTCCAAGATTATTGCACTTATATACCGACGTGCATGTACGTGTGTGTGTTTGTGTGGCTGCCTCTACTAGTCCGGACTGATGCCGATTTATAGTGCTAGCTCACTGAGATACCATGCCGCAGTTTAACATGAATACCCCACTCAGACACAGTATACTGACTCCGAGCCGACCAGTCCTTGTTTTAGCCCCTTAATGCCGAGCGCCAGACAGGGTAACAACAAGTACCATCTTTTAACGTCTTTTGGTATGACGCGGCTGGGGATCGAACCCCGGACCTTCCGCACTCCGGGCGAACGCTCTACCATTAGACCACGGAGGCGGTCATTTTTCATTGTAAAGTTGTGTAAAAAATACAACTTATTAAGGTCTCCTTGCCAAAAGCGGGTCATAAGTAACCTATTGAAGATCAGTTTGTTCAACGAGGTGTAACAGGTGTAAATCTGCGTTGAGACTGAAAAACTATTAAGATTCATATTCAATTTGTATTAAACATTTCAGGAAATACTCATGCTTGTATCGAAAGCTAAAAACCAGATTTCTTACATGTGACCAAACTGTTTGAAAGAATGGCCGCTGATGGCTAGCTGGTGCATATCTTTGGCGTGACCCATGGCAGCAAAGTGAAACGTGACGGTTTCCCCCACACAGGCGTCAAGGCCGGGGAGGTTGCCGTAAACGTAGCCATTGAGAGCTGGCATTGTATTCCAACGTCGGAACCGGTTGTCCCTGACGTTGACCTTGTTGATGGTGCTGATGTTGCCGCCGAATCTGTGGAGGTTGTCCTGCATGTACCAGCTTCTGTTCTCATCCATCTGACTGGCATAGATGGCGTATTGGCGCCCACTCGGCGCCTTGTCCAGGATGCCTGTAACAGTTCAGATGAGCAAGTGAATGTTGTTTTACGCCACATTCAGCAATAATCCATCTAACACGTCCCATTTTAATTCTGGAAACCCAAAAGTCCAGAAACTCTACGCTCTTTGCCCAGTCTCGGTTAAAGGTATTTACAAAATTAAACATGCCGTTTTCATGGGAACATACCAAGTGGGCGAAGTGTGGCCCATGGGCCTGCCCATGGGCGAAGTCTGGCCCATGGGTAGGCCCATGGGCAGGCCCATGGGCGAGAATATGTTCCTTTACTTAAAACTCATGTTTTTGTTTCGCAAATACATTTAATGTATTTATTGAAGTATCATGACACAAAATTTAACTCATTTTAACTTAATTCAACGATTTTATAGCAATATTGAAATATTTCGCCCATGGGCGAGAAAAGGTTTGGCCCATGGGCAGGCCCATGGGCGAGAACATGTTCCTTTACTCAAAACTCATGTTTTTGTAGCGATCTTTAATGAACCCGGCCTTACCTCTCAAAACGTTTTGACAGTTTATCATACGAATTCATGTGCGTGTACTCCAATTCATTGGAGTTATTTTCCACAACATTAAATTTTAGTTAGTTTCTATTTCATTTCCCGTTTTTTATGTCCCGTTGATACATCACACTGGGCTATTACGTGACACTAGGTATGCAATATACAGGTACGCGTGCGCGTATTTTAATGAAAAAAACTATTCGTCTTTTATTGCATAACGTTTGGCTGAATATCTTACTTCGAAATCTCGAAATAATTATTTAATTACAAGCAGTGTCGAACTGACCAGTAGGAATTATGTTTCAATGCGATTGAGGAAAACGTGAGTGAATATTGTGACACTAAAGCAACTTTTAACTGCATTGTCACTTTTGGTATGAAAATGGTAATAGTTAAGATAAACGTAACAGCCTTCTTATGATAATTCTCATATTCTCATTAGTACGTTGTGTCTAATTACAGTGTCGGCCTTATTTACAGGTGATTCTACAATACTTGTTGTCGGTCAATTACAATCTGCCACACCACGCGTGAATAAACCGTTATGCAGGTGTTGCTGTGGGCAAATACCTAGCCTGTACATGTATATTTTTGTGGATACATGTATTACATATTTTCGTTGATATGTGGATATATTAAGCACCAAGACACAAAAAGTTTATGAAAGATGAATTTGTGCCTTGATATATATATTCAACGCGAACGAAGCTTGTATTTTCTCCGCGATCCTGATGTGTATCATCGTTTAATTGGTCATTCATTAAAAGTATGTTGTGAGGCGATATCAAAGGAGCCGCTCAATATACACAGTGTCGTCCGTTTCGCGTGAACTACCACCCTACCCTGTCAGTAAGAGTTATGTAATCGGTACACAAATATATTTGGTGCGATGTCAGTGTGGAAGGAGTTTGAATTACGTCCGCCAGTGGCCACAGAAAGTATAGTACCAATCAACAAGGCCAATGCCGTACTAATAACCTAGTGACTCTCGTAACAACGGCTGTCAATATGTCTGCTACATCTACCATACCATCATCCCTGTCACAACTGGCGTATTAACGGTTTATTCAAAAAAATATTGTAGAAATGTCGTTACCAGACTAACGTACGCCGTATTCAGTCCTCAACTGGATGTCACATTCCTTATATCAGTTAACAGCCCTGTTTGTGAAAATATTTACTAGACATAAGATTTAAAGACTAATAAAATCAATTGTAAGCCCGCATAGACCATAAAACCGAATAAAATATGTCTTGGTATCATCTCTTGTGTATTAGATGATGGCAATGACCGGAAATGTTATAACGTTAGATTAAGAAGGAGAAACATTAAAGTGTTTTACAATACTTGGAAACATGAGCAATAAGATGTAGCAACATAAACATGCATGGAATAGGGACAAAGGATGAAAACAAATTGAAAAGGATTTTAATACAAAATTAATCGAACTAAATAACTTGCCTGAACAGAAGGGGTACCCAAACTTGTTTGACAGTTATTCGTGTGTTGTAGACTGTCGAATGTGTGTACGTAGGGTACGCATATCTATTGCAAGTTTTAGTACTCATACACTTTCTCTTTTTGTGTTTTGTTTGTTTGTTAGTTGTATAACGCCACACTAAGCAATATTTCAGCTGTATGACGGCGGTCTGTAAATAATCGAGTCTGGACCAGACAATCCAGTGATTGACATCATGTGCATCGATCCACGCAATTGGGATACGATGACATGCATCAACCAAGTCAGCGAGCCTGACCACCCGATCCCGGTAGTCGCTTCTTACGACAAGCGCTGTCGCCCTTTTACGCCAAGAATGGTTTGTTGAAGATCTTCACGGGTCTTACTTACTTACTTACTTTGGAGATTTAACGTGCGCTTTCCGACTGATGCGTATTTCGCACACGGTCTATTGAATGCAGGGATTTGTATAAAGTCATCAGACAGCATACAATGCCAACTAAAAAATTATACTCAGTGTCTCCGCAAAGTAATATAGTACGGTACTTAGAGTACATGTGAGATTATACTCAGATTAGGGAGATGTTTAATCCATATAACGTGTTATTATTCTACCTAACAATGTATTTAATGAAATGAATGCAAAACAAACTCAACGGCTAAAAGGTTTCATTGAAAAAACTACCACTAGTCTTGACTAATAAAACAACTGCAACCCGACACAGATTAAACGCAACTTACAAACACAATCATAATCTGGTTAGTCTGTATCACTCAACGAGGCCGCTTACTCTGCCCACAGTATGAAAGTATTGGGCAGTTCAGTAATTAGGAGCCAAAACCAGACAGGTACGCTGGTCACACTTGACTGGTCTGACTGATGATTAGGTGTCTGACAATTGGGAGTGAACCATAGCAAGAAGTATCTGCGAAACTATTTGCTCCTTTTATGGGACCGATTAGTTTTATGACCATGGGCCTCGGCACAAGCGTGGTGTTGGAAGACAAGTTATACATGTACATCCGATATGGTGACTGTTTTTCGCTATTCATATTCTAAATACATTCACAATATCACAACATTTTAGTACTCCTTGAAACTTTACAATCACTTCAATATGTACAATAGATTGAACGAGAACACTTGATATATTGCAGATTGTAAAATCATTGTCTCTATTATCAGCCGCTACGTTTGTATCGTTTGCATTGTACAAAGAAATATTTTATCTGTCCTTTTGCAGATTTAGCCTCAGAATGTGCTCATTCGAATTAGGAACGAAAATAATTGCTTGTCGTGAGTATATATGATACAGTTAAAAGTTACTTGTACACTGTAGACGTATTCACTTTAAAGTCGCATACGACCTTCGCGAGCGAGTTGAATGATCCAGGTTAATTGGAACGAAGTCTAGAAAGGGTTATAAAGTTTTGTATTTGGTAATGTGTAGGTTTGTTAAATATCATTTTTTAAATTCCTTTTATTTCAATATGTAAAAACATAACTATGCGCTTAAAAACAGAGCTGACTTGATGGGAGATAGCCACCTCAGTTTGTCTGTTGGACACGGTTTAACCTTACTGTGTCCTCACCCTGGTTGTTGTTACCGTTGTTATAAGGGATTAGGAGCTACGGCTCATTGCATTTTTGGTTACAGTCTGTATCACTAAAGTGGACATGTGCAGGTGAACTCTGTTCAATTCGTATATGAAATGCCCCAAAATGTGAACTCCAGACAATAATAACATGAGGGTAAATCCACGTGTGTCTGCCTTTCCCCTCGTTCACCTTCGAAATCCTTGATTATTATATCATGCCATAGTTCTGAAATTCAGTGACAATGTTGCTGAACAGTAGAATCTGATGGACGTTTTGTGCAGAACCTGTTTGACACTATTGGTTCCAGGACCACTAACATTCTGAGCTGAAAAAGTTTGGTCCTAACCGCACCCAGCATCTACAAGTTTGTAAGCTTGTAGACATCATTAAGAAGTAATTAACAGTCCCATGCTGAGACCTTTCTCAAAATTCAGACCGGTGGCAGGCTGCCAACAAAGAGAAGCAAATATCGCAACCCCGACACGAGTGTGCTCAGTCAAACAATGAACTTACGACCGGCAGAAAACAACTCCAGTTGAGTATGCCGATGCTGTATCTCAGCCGTGTTGGCCTGAAAATTTAAACATGCTAATTAAATCCAAAATGGTATAATTATTTTTAATAGAAACCGTATCTTAATTTGTTCTTGCACTGCATCATATCGTGTATTTCATCTGTATATGTGTAATGTGTATATGTATCAATGACTACACTTATACCGCATATTCTGCAACAGACTATAATTAATCACCTTATTATTGTCTCTCCATTTACCATGGCTGACTGCACTAATACCCTTTTAACAGTGGACACCGATATCAGTATACATGTAGGCTTTTTGTTCAAAAAGGAATATGCAGGAAATTGTATGTAACAATTAACTGTGTACTAATTAGATGTTTGAATGTTATCAGTTTTACGTTCTGAGATACAGTGATGTAAGCATCTTCTAAAATCTTCTAAAAATATAATAAAATACAAAACTCTCTGCCGTAATTTTTTTGTGGAAATCATTCGATCAAGTAAAAATGACTGCGTGACAAGACGAATCAACTATTTATACCCGATAAAAGAAACTGCCGTATTTTAGGAACAGTGCTACAACAAGACATTTGAAATTTCTAACAAGCAGATACATTAGAGACAGTGACTAGACTACAGGTACGTAATCCGTATCAATCAAAGGTGTAAAAAAACTGAAAATCATATCTGTAGGAGACCTACCGAATTACCAAGTTTTATCATTACTATATTTATTACAATGCAAATACTTTAGTGATACATTTTGTAGAGGAGAGGGCATACACACAAGTATATTGCTTCCGTGTGTGAATGCAGGTTGTACTTGGTATCTCAGTTCTCAGTTTCATACCGGTTGTATAACTGAATTTGTATATGGAACCATGCGTACAGCATGACAATTACTTGCTATTCGTCAGTTTACAACACACATAACACGGTCAAACAATTTTAGGCACCGCTTTTGCGAGTTATTTAGTACAATAATGTTTCATTAAAATCTATTTCAATTTGTTTTCACCATTTTCCCTATTGACAGTCGTTGTTACGTGCGTCACTAGGTAATTAGTACGGATTGACCTTGTTTATTGTTTCTATACTTTGAGGATTTCTGTGGCAAGTGGCGGACGTAATTCAAACTCCTTCCACACTGACACCGCATCAAATATATTTGTGTACCGATTACATAACTCTAATGGACAGGGTCGGGTGGTAGTTCACCGGACGACACTGTGTATATTGGGCGGCTCCTTTGATATCTCCTCCAAACATACGTTTATTGAATGACCCCATTAAACAATGATACACATCTCGATGAATATATCAAGGCACTAATTCATCTTTCATAAACTTTTTGTGTCTTGGTGCTTAATATATCCACATATCAACGAAAATATGTAATACATGTATCCACAAAAATATACATGTACAGGCTAGGTATTTGCCCACAGCAACACCTGCATAACGGTTTATTCACGCGTGGTGTGGCAGATTGTAATTGACCGACAACAAGTATTGTAGAATCACCTGTAAATAAGGCCGACACTGTAATTAGACACAACGTACTAATGAGAATATGAGAATTATCATAAGAAGGCTGTTACGTTTATCTTAACTATTACCATTTTCATACCAAAAGTGACAATGCAGTTAAAAGTTGCTTTAGTGTCACAATATTCACTCACGTTTTCCTCAATCGCATTGAAACATAATTCCTACTGGTCAGTTCGACACTGCTTGCAATTAAATAATTATTTCGAGATTTCGAAGTAAGATATTCAGCCAAACGTTATGCAATAAAAGACGAATAGTTTTTTTCATTAAAATACGCGCACGCGTACCTGTATATTGCATACCTAGTGTCACGTAATAGCCCAGTGTGATGTATCAACGGGACATAAAAAACGGGAAATGAAATAGAAACTAACTAAAATTTAACTCCAATGAATTGGAGTACACGCACATGAATTCGTATGATAAACTGTCAAAACGTTTTGAGAGGTAAGGCCGGGTTCATTAAAGATCGCTACAAAAACATGAGTTTTGAGTAAAGGAACATGTTCTCGCCCATGGGCCTGCCCATGGGCCAAACCTTTTTCTCGCCCATGGGCGAAATATTTCAATATCGCTATAAAATCGTTGAATTAAGTTAAAATGAGTTAAATTTGGTGTCATGGTACTTGAATGAATACATTAAATGTATTTGCGAAACAAAAAAATGAGTTTTAAGTAAAGGAACACATTCTCGCCCATGGGCCTGCCCATGGGCCTACCCATGGGCCAAACCTTTTTCTCGCCCATGGGCGAAATATTTCAATATCGCTATAAAATAGTTGAATTAAGTTAAAATGAGTTAAATTTTGTGTCATGATACTTCAATAAATACATTTAATGTATTTGCGAAACAAAAACATGAGTTTTAAGTAAAGGAACATATTCTCGCCCATGGGCCTACCCATGGGCCAGACTTCGCCCATGGGCAGGCCCATGGGCCACACTTCAGTATCAGTCTAAATATTGAGTTTTTAAACAATTTTTTTTTCATTTTTTCTTCCTTGGTATGTTCCCATGAAAACGGCATGTTTAATTTTGTAAATACCTTTAACCGAGAGTGGGCAAAGAGCGTAGAGTTTCTGGACTTTTGGGTTTCCAGAATTAAAATGGGACGTGTTATCTGTATTCCGACCAAAACAATCATATGTTTATAACAACCGGCATAAGCAACGATCCGCGCCTTTCACATATTACAGTGAGTGAGTGAGTTGGGTTTAACGCCGCTTTTAACAATATTCCAGTTATGTCGGCTTGATGTGGGGGGGGGACGCCCGCAGGTCTCAGACGTTTACTACTTCGGTGAAACCCACGAGCACGGGTATGGTGCCAAACCATAATCGAAACATAATCGAGGCGAACCGGGATTCGAACTCACAATCTTAGGTTTCTGGCGTGCCTAAGGGACGCAACTCTGCAAAGTGAATCGCGGCGCTTTAGACGACTGGGCCACCCGTGCCCCCTACATATTATAACCTTTGAGATACTGATTATTGATGACGAGAAGTGGTGGAACTGAAATAATGGATTCCGAAAAGGAATCCAGTTACAGAAAACTGACAATGCTGAATAAAAGGTTTGTCACATGCCCGGGGCGGACGTAAAGATCGGGCTTTATAGACGTTACTAATACAGTAAACTACGTTTATAACGAACACGCTTATAACGAACTGACGGATATAATGAACTTACATTTTTGTCCCGACCATTTGCTGTAGTTATGCTGTATATATGCTTATAACGAACTACGGTTATAACGAACTAAAATTAATGGTCCCGTTGAGTTCGTTATAACCGTAGTTTACTGTTAAAAGTAACTTTAAGTTACCTCCCTCCGTGGGAGGAACGTGTTCAGTTCGGTGACAAACATGTGACAAATGCGTGTGAGTACCTCGTACAGAACGCTTTACTTATGCGTTCTTGGGTAGTTTATTTTTGAGCCGTAGTGTACTTTGTGAGATTCGAACCCGGACCTTCAGCGGCACGATTGGTAACAGCACTTAATACTATCTGCATCACAGATAAATAAACCGGTTGATGTTCGCCGCGGGACTGGGTCATATGTGTAGTGACGTTGAACAAGAAGCAACTTCTATTTCTACCTCCGAACTGTGACCTACCTGGTTTGCAGGTGTAGATGAAGCCGACGAGGCCGGCGTTGGTGTCGTTGGTGGGGACGACGTGAGAGTGGTAGATCCAGGATATGCAGTCCGGACTCTGGGGGCTGGGGCTGGCCTGCTTGTTGATCTCCCACCGGTACGTGTGGGACCCCCCGGGCCACACAAGGTCATCCGAGGTCATGTTATGGTAGCCATCGTGGTACTTAGCACCTGCACGTGTGGGAAAATGTCATACAAAATGTAGGTGAGGTGAAATGGGGTTTAGCGTCGCGTCCAAGATTATTGCACTTATATAGCGACGTGCATGTACGTGTGTGTGTTTGTGTGGCTGCTTGTACTAGTCCGGACTGTTGCCGATTTATAGTGCTAGCTCACTGAGATACCATTCCGCACTTTAACATGAATACCCCACTCAGACACAGTATACTGACTCCGAGCCGACCAGTCCTTGTTTTAGACCCTTAATGCCGAGCGCCAGACAGGGAACCAACAAGTACCATCTTTTAACGTCTTTTGGTATGACGCGGTCGGGGATCGAACCCCGGACCTTCCGCTCTCGGGGCGGACCCTCTACCACTAGACCACTGAGGCAGTCCATACAAAATGTATATCCTTGCTGTTAGTCAGGGCGACAAAAGTATTCCATAATCATAAGGAAGGTCTTCTAAGAGCATAGACGATGGTACGATTCCGACTATTTCATAAGCATGAATCACTATGATGATACCAGCTGTTCGCAAAAAGGCGAGCGTCTTCTGCCCCACATTTGGTACCCGTCACAAACACATGCAAAGTCAAGTCAGTTGTTCACCTGAACAAAATCGGGTGGTACAAATCTTAATAGAGAATTGCGGACATCATTTTGTCATTGAGGCGTAAAATGTTGAAATGTCCTCCACATGTCAATTTTGCAACCATAAACGTTTTGAAAGCGTTACTAAGGCAAATGATTTAACAGCCAGTGAACAAACTTAAGAGTCTTATGACGCTCTTCAAATCATTTCCACTATGTTTAACTTGAATATACCGCGTGTTAGCTGTAATGTAATTAGGGCGCACGGGTGGCCCAGTCGTCTAAGGCGCCGCGATTCGCTGTGCAGAGTTGCGTCCCTTGGGCACGCCAGAAACCTGTGATTGTGGGTTCGAATCCCGGTTCGCCCCAAGTATGTTTCTAGGTTTGTCAGCACCATACCCGTGCTTGTGGGTTTCACTCACTCACTTGTAATATAATTATGTATAAAGTATATGTTCCTGTTCAGTTATGTTTCTACTGATGTTGAATATTGATGAATATACATTTCTTACATGAACATTTATATAATTATGATATACGTACACTTAAATGTTTTCAGGCGTTACATAAAAGCATTATTGGATACTATAAGCCAAAAAAATGGGTGCACATACATTGGAGCCAAAGTACGGAATTAATTTGAGTTGGATGTTCTGTCGTTACACAAGTTGAGTCAGAGGTCGAACAGAGTCAGACACTAGTAGCAGTATCAGTGAATATGAAAGTTGAAAATCTTCCACAGAGGTTCTAGTTCTTGACCGAGACCAGGCAAAAGTCAAGAACTAAGAACAAGTCCATGGATCATGTCAGCACCTTCTCTATAAACACCTCACGTTCCCCAGCATGACGAGACACAATCTGAAGTGAATTGCCATGATCTCAAATTTTAATGGACCAATAGGTTATAATTCATTCATATTCTGTGAGGTTTAGACGTCATAACAAATTTGCCTCTAGCTAGTGTCTGAGTTAATATATTTAAATATGTATCTGTAATATCCTTGAAGATAAGTGAAAAATATCATCCGTTACAGATTATTTTATTTCAATTAAAACTGCCCACTTTTGATACCAAGGTAGGCAATGGATATGATGAAGTCCTGTTTGAAAAGTAGCTGGGATTGAAATAATGTGTCTTGGTTCTTATTTAATGTTCCATATACCATGTCATTAAGGTCTGGATTTCACCCACTTTGTTATAATGCCACCCTGGATGAAAGGTGGCATTAAAACCAGAGTACATGTGCATGTGCAACTCTCCAACTATACTCATAATACTCACAAGGGTTGTTATATGTAGATGTTGTTTTAGAAATAAACGGACCGCCTCCGTGGTCTAGTGGTAGAGCGTCCGCCCGGAGAGCGGAAGGTCCGGGTTCTATCCCCGGCCGCGTCATACCAAAAGACGTTAAAAGATGGTACTTGTTGTCACCCTGTCTGGCGCTCGGCATTAAGGGGCTAATACAAGGACTGGTCGGCTCGGAGCCAGTATACTGTGTCTGAGTGGGGTATTCATGTGAAACTGCGGCAAGGTATCTCAGTGAGCTAGCACTATAAATCGGCAACAGTCCGGACTAGTACAAGCAGCCACACAAACACACACACGTACATGCACGTCGCTATATAAGTGCAATAATCTTGGACGCGACGTTAAACCCCATTTCACCTCACCTCAGAAATAAACGATGAGAGAGTTGTTTGTTGTATGATGAAAGACTGCAGGGGAAGCAAACTTCGAGGGGCACAGACAAAGTACTATATGAAACTGATGGCACGGCACTTTATGAACACATCAACAAAAACACCTAGAAAATATACCACATTTAACCGCTATACAGAGGGAGAGGTGTGGCGCTAAAAGGAGCCCCGCACGCCGCCATTTCAAAGACGTTTGGATGCTGCCGTGTCACCATTACCAGATTGATGCAACGTTTACAACAGACAGACAGGCGTAAGAGCGGGAGACAAAGGGTGACCACGCCCATTGAAGACCGCCACATCAGCACCATCCATCTATGAAACCGCTTCATTACAGCGACGGCAACGGCAGCGACGGCACTGCAACTTGGACACAAGGTCAGTCGACAGACAGTGTATAGGAGATTAAGAGAGAGCGGTATCAGAGCGGTCCTACAGCGGAGTGATGTTAACGCGTCAACGCCGACGTTACAAGTTGACAAGGGCCAGGCGAGATCGATTCGACGTTGGTAGGTGCGGGCCTGGGGACGTGTCATGTTCTCATAGTGGATATAGCTTGTACAGAAATGACGATCGGCAGCGAGAATACAGACGAGCAGGTGAACGTTTAGTGCCCAATTGTGGAGGAGGTAGAGTCATGATCATGATCTGAAGCGATATGTGCGGTGATTTCAAAACGAGGCTCAGGGATATCGGTGTAAAGTTTTGAGAAGGGTTTTGCAACCATGCGATCACCAACAACGAAGACAATGCGAGACCCATATACGGCAAGGCTCATGATCACACAGAACTTTCTGAACAACACGAACATTCACGTTTTACCCTGGCTACTATGTTCTCCTGATATGAACTCCATCGAAAATGTATGGGATCACCTTCACCGACAGATTAGAAGACGACCAGCGGCACCAGTCAACCGTCAAACACTGGAACAATGGCAGCGGATTACTTCCAACGTCATCCGACATTTAACGTCATTGGTGCGTCGTCGTGTTCAGGCATGCGCTTATATTATTCACAAGGTGGGTATAAAGTTTGCTTTGAATGTGCTTTCAAAGATTTTAAAGTCTTGTGACAGTGATATTGTGAAACGTGTCATTTTAGACCCTCTATGTGTCTTTTTGTTCAAGAGTTTGTTTAGACAACATGAGCAGTTTCACACATTATGTTAGAACACAACCCCAATAAAATATACATACACATATCGGTTTTCTTTCATAGTCTTTCAAACTCTTGGTATCCTTTCTTTTGGACATTGGTGTATGTCATTCACCTCTTACGACCGGCTGCCGATAAGTTTTAACTCACCCACTCTTACGTCCAGCATGACGTGCTTGGGACCTATATTAACCCAGAATCTCCGCAGGGAGACATTGTCATTCACACCAGAACAGTCAGAGGCAGGAAGCACTGGTAATCCCATGTGTATATTCACTGTAGCTCACCTTCACTCGTCTTGTTGTACAGCAGCCCGTGTGGATGCATGGAATACCTCTGGGTGGCGAAGTTCTTGAAGTGAAGCAGGAGCGTGTCCCCCTCCTCTCCCTTCAATATGGGACCAAGGAAGCCGAGCCATTTGGGCTTCTCAATCTCCACAGAATACGTGGCATCTGTGTACTGCTTGTACACCGCCTTCTTGTACACCCGCCCCAGCAGGTTGTGGCCCTGATAGAGATAGTATTTGGACGGGCTTGTGATGTTGAATCTGGGAACCGTTAAAATGATAAAATGATGATATCCTCTATATTTTCTGGAAAAAATTATATCTTCAACACCCCTCTATGATGACAATCATGACTTCTATAACGCGAGTGAAAGTAAGAATTACATTCACAAGCAGATGAAACAGATTGGTGCATAAACTGACACATGAAACAGATAGGTACATTTACTGACAGTAGAAACAGAGAGGTGCATTCACTGACAGGTGAGCCAGACAGGTACATGCACTGACAGATTGAACAGACAGGTACATTCCCCGACAGTCGAAACAGACATGTACATTTCCCAACAGGTGAAACAGATAGTTACATTCACTGACACAGGACACGGATAGGTACATTCACTGACACATGAAACAGATAGGTACATTCATTGACACATGAAACAGAGAGGTACATTCACTGTCAGAGGAAACAGACAGGTACATGCACCGACACAGGAAACAGAGAGGTACGTGCACTGACACAGGAAACAGAGAGGTGCATTCACTGACAGGTGAGCCAGACAGGTACATGCACTGACAGATTGAACAGACAGGTACATTCCCCGACAGTCGAAACAGACATGTACATTTCCCAACAGGTGAAACAGATAGTTACATTCACTGACACAGGACACGGATAGGTACATTCATTGACACATGAAACAGATAGGTACATTCACTGTGAGAGGAAACAGACAGGTACATGAACTGACACAGGAAACAGAGAGGTACATGCACTGACACAGGAAACAGAGAGGTACATTCACTGATACAGGAAACAGAGAGGTACATACACTGACAGATGAAACAGACAGGTACATTCCCTGTCAGGTGAAACAGACAGGTACATACACTGACACATGAAACAGATACGTACATGCACTGACAGATAAAACAGGCAGGTACATTCCCCGACAGGTGAAACAGACAGGTACATTCCCCGACAGGTGAAACAGTTAGGTACAATCACTGACACATGAAACAGGGAGGTACATTCACTGACAGGTGAAACAGACAGGTACATTCACTGACAGGTGAAACAGGCAGGTACATTCCTCGACAGTCGAAACAGGCATGTACATTCCCCGACAGGTGAAACAGACAGGTACATTCCCCGACAGGTGAAACAGATAGGTACAATCACTGACAGGTGAAACAGAGAGGTACATTTCCCGATAAGTGAAACCATGAGGTACATTCCCCGACAGGTGAAACAGAGAGGTACATTCAATGACAGGTGAAACAGGCTGGTGAATTCACAGGCTGGTGAAACAGACAGGTGCATCCTGTGACAGGTGAAATATTAAGATTTCAATTTGGGTACGTCAACATCCAAAAGAAAACCATTTCTGGTCTCCCCCGCCGTGATATTGCTGGAATATTGCTAAAAACGGCGTAAAACCATACTCACTCACTCCAAAAGAAAACCGTCCATTGTAACTTCATTTTCATTTTATGTGATTACGTTTATGTTTGTTTTTTCATATGTGTACTCACTTTGTGGGCGTCACAAGATCCCCGGATGGCGCGTAGTCCCACAGGACCTCCACACAGCCGATGTAGTAGTGTCTGTCCACGCCGTTACAGAACGCCGTCAGAATCAGCATCAGACCGATGACACACCAAGCTGGCATGATGAGGCGGACAAACTAACAAACTAACTTAACATGAACTGGGAAAAAGGGGTTTTCAGTTTTATGACTGTTAAAGGCAAATTTGAAAAACAGGTGGATGTTACTTTTCCACTGAAAATGTTGCATGAATGAGTGAATATCAGGGGTGGATGCGGCTACATCATCTCCAGGCCCCTACTCCCAGCACACCAGACCCGCTGATGAGATCACAGGGATTAATTCCATTGTGCTGCTCGCACAGTTAAGGCAAGTCGTGTCATGTCATTTATCCCTGTAAAGTTGACCCATATGAAGAGATAGTGGTAAAGGAACAATAAACTAGCTTTTAACCTGTGTGAAAGCATTTAGTAAATTATGTCTTGAATCATAGATGAAATCGATGCATGGTTAGTTTTCTGAGTAAGTTATATCACACTTCGAAGACAGAAGCATCTGAAACCTTTTTTATATATTTGAATTTGGATGATACAGTTTAGGCAGATAAACGGGTTTATTGTCTAGTGTCTGCGTTGCTGTCAGTCATGGCTGTCACGCGCTGGTGACATGATGGGGGTCTGAGTTTACAATAAGCCAATACACTGGGGACGCGTGCTCATATGTCCAAGACCAATGCCTGTGTTACAACATATTCTGTATACATTATTCATTGTTTCCTTCTGAGTGCGATTTTTGCTTTTGCAACGAGACGAGTAACGATCATCATAGAAGACACCAAAACGTATTTGGTAACACTGAATATTTGTTGCATTACCAAATAATAGTTATGGATGCAACTTCCTTATATAAAAGATTTCATAAGTTTGATTGTTTCAGGTTAATAGGATGTTTTATTGTTGAAGCATACATTTTAGAAGATTTCTTGTGCATCATTGTGAAATTTATTTTTTTTAAATTTTGGTTACATATTAAAGTAGTTTTTTAATTTATTTTATCGTTTTCAGTTGACCGTAGTGATATAGTTTGGAGTGAAGGGTGCCATATAAAGGACAGTTGTTGCAAATGTGTTTAAGGTCTTCGGGTTGAATACAGTGATTGCAGTTACCAGTGTCATGACGGTTTTGTTTATATAGATTTGTGTTGCCACTGATAATTTGGGTTATAATTTGTTAAAAAAATGTCGAATTATTGAAATTGTGTCATTAATAGAGTGGTTTATAACATAGGCTTTTAAGCCATGTAGAATTGGAATTTTGAATAATTATATGTTGGACATTTTGAATTTTGATGGAGTTTTTAATTTAGATTTTATCTCGACTTTAGAAGTATGAAAATGAATGGGGAGGGAAGGGTGCGTGGTGGCTATTTTGGCTGCACTGTCTGCTGTTTGATTACCAGGTATATTTGAATGGCTATGTATTCATAATAGGCTGATAGATTTATGTATTTGTTTTAATTCTGAAATGAATACCATGAGGCAGAGAACATATATATGTGAGGACAACAAAATTAATAAGATAACAAAAGGTGGAAAATAACAACGGGTAGAAGCCAACAGATGATTGGCGCTGATGGGTGATTAGCAATAGACAATGGAAGCCAACATTTAAGTTGTCATAGATAAGTTATTGGTGTGGGGAAATGTTTTATTCTACAAATAGATACTTAGTACAGTGTGGCCTGCGTTTGTTCTCGGACCGCATGTAATGTGGCCCTGTAATTATGGTCATTATTAAATTGTTTGAAACTAAATGTGTTGAATTTGGCAGCCACTGACTTAGCCGCGAAATAGCAGATGTCGACTGCTCCACTTTTACTGTCCGACATCAATTGACCGCTCATGCATAGCTACGATGAACACATTCATCACGTTTTACTCAACGTTCTGCTGAGTTTCCATGGCCTTCAGAATACCGTGGACATTTCGATACCTTTCTGTTTCCAAGATACTTATCCTTGACACTTTTCTTTTAGTCTAAAATGTGAATGGTCGAGTTTCCTGCCTTCCTCGCTGTATTGAAGAACGGGTATTGACCTAACAACTAAGTATGATTTCGAGCTCAGATTTCGATAATGACGTCAAACGTTTCACAAACCCCACACCACCGTCAATGCGCGCCCTACGCCCACCCAACAACTACACCCACACCCACCCACACACCCACACCCACCCTCGCCCTCGCCCTCGCCCTCGCCCCCACCCTCACCCCGCCATTCCATATGTTCCCATACTATCCAATAACATCGTGTCCTTGTTATTTCGAACCTCTTCGTACTTCATAGACGCCCTCCATTCCGGCGTGGATGTGATCATGAGCATGGCAGTGGCACAGCCACTTCCCGACTCTCACCGCGTGCATGCGAACCGAAGCGAACACGCTGGGGAACAGCTTGGTGACGTCATTTGTATGAGGCTTGTCTTCAAAATTTATGATGTCGTTGCCATGGAAATGCACTGAATGCATGTCCACCTCTGTGCCGAGAGTCAGGAGGTACCAGTCCATCGTCTGACCCTCCATAATGAGTGGAGGTCGGTGGTTACAGGTAGCCGTTGATTGCTGAAACGGTCAACACGGCAAGTCAGTTTCCAATACATGTATCCCTTATCAATTCATAATGATTTCTTATCAGAAGCTTGTTCAAAATGACCCCAAAACTAGATAACCCGAAGTTTTCTCAGTATATGTACACAACTGATTCCGTAACGGAGAAATCATGACAAACTGAATCTAGAAGTAGAATCAAAGAGCCCTGAACGAGTGAGCTGATTCTACTCAAGGAATCAACAGATTCGAGTGACTTCTCCGAACATGTTGATATATGCTTAACGTATACTTTTCTCTATAACTCTCCATAATGGCCCATAGTTGCGCCAGTATTACTTGTTTAAAATGCACGTTTAGAATGGCCAGTGGATTCCTGGTTCAGACTCAACTACACGAACAATAGCGTGACGTTATCAAAATGGTTCAAAACTCGTAAAACCCAGGGCACGGGTGACTAAGACGCCTAAGACGCCGCAATTCGCTGTGCCAGATTGTGTCCCTCAGATGTGAAAGAAAACTATGATCGGGGTTCGAATCCCGGCTGCCCTAATAATGTTTCAAGGTTTGTCAGCACCATTTCTCACTGAAGTGGTCAGTGTCTGAGACTGGCACACTAAAGGCTTTCTCCCACATCAAGATGACACGCCGTAATATATCTGGTAATACTGACAGTGTTTGATAATCATCAAAACCCATGGTATCATAGTTTAGCCAACATCCGCCTAAATTACTCTCCGGTTACAAGTTGATTAAATATTCAGTCCATGCTCACCATGTATAAGGTTACTTTCTATAAACCCCTCGTCATCTTTGTTCACCGCCGAGGCGTTCCCCGCAAAAAGCAAAATGTTCTGATCCAAATACCAACTCTGATTTTCATCAATCACGGAGAAATAAAGGGCAAAGTCAGCGTCAACATTCCTCCGGATTCGTTTGCCACTTTCTAGTTTTAAAGCTCCTTTCCTGCACACAACGAGAGGCCCAACAAGACCGGAGTTAACATCCATCACAGGATTCACATCAGAGTAGTATATACGTGCCACACATTCGGGATCACTCGGCCCAGGTCCGTCTGATTCCGTGACATTCCAAGGAAACGTTCTCACGCCCATCGGTGGAACACTTGGCTGATCCGAGGCGCTGAAGTTGCCATCGTCGCTGTTGTAGTGAAGTCCGTGCGCTCTGATGGTGTAGTTTTGTTTAGTGGCGCCGTTTTTGAGCACTATCTCCAGTACGTCTCCTACCTCCAGGCGTATGATTGGACCAAGAAGACCAAGGTATTCCTCATCAACTGCGCGTATCAAAGGGATGCTGAAAGTGGCATCCCTGTACTCCTGATACTGGGCCTTGATGTATGTGCCACCTATTGTTGTGTCGCTCTCGCTTACGAACGTTGCACCATGGCTGCAGTAAATGCGTTCAAATGTCAAATAACAGTGTTTTGACTAGAATAGAATGTCATTTACCACCAGTTTATTTATTTGGGTCAAAATGGCCATATTATTTCAAATAATTTCAATGTTTTGCTCCTTTCTCGTACGTGACTGGCTGTTCTAGCATCACATCAAATGTATAGTATAGGCTTTAATCTTAATTGCTCACAATTATACTAATCGACTGAATATTCGAACGTTTTAGGCAGATGACTCCTTGAATTGCTAGCTTAACCACACATGACATATTTAGAAAGTGTATTTAATGTCTATGTTAAGGTTTGGAAACATCCTTGACAGAGAGAGACCTTAAAATATATCGCTTGTGCCCATGCGCGCATGTATAGCTATGTGGGTTTTTTTACTTATTGAGCGGATATCTGGTTTACCTTCCTTCAGCTGTAAACGGTTCGTTAAGAATCGTGTCTTTTCTTGCGGGAATGTAATTCCATGGTACCTCCATTACTTGTATGAACTTGTCCACCCAGCGGAAGTGACGTATCTGGATCAGTAGCAGCTCCACAGCGCATGACATTGTAAATAGCCTTCATGCCTGCGGTGTAGTGGTCGTTCGTCCGACAAACCAGACCCCACCAACCTGAGTACACAGCACCATAGTTTACCGATCAGTTCGCCATTGCAGCCGTATTTTCCGCAAAGCATTTTAAATAGCTTTAAGATCATTATTCCATTTTCTTTCTGGGATGCTAAAATATATAGCTTATTATTTTTTTCAAGATAATAATTTTGGTCAGGTTTTGCCATTACAAAAATAGATCTATAATTGTTCGCTGTAATAAATGTCATAAAAGGCAAAGTATTGTGAAAAAAAATGAGTGTTCACTTCCTCATTTCACAGAAAACATTCTGTTTTAAATCTCTGACCGAAAAATTATAGGGGACAGGACAATTTTTTAAAGGGGGTGGGGGGAGGGATCGGCGGGGTTTTTTTTTGCTTCTTTTTTATGGTGTGTGGCGGGGGGGGGGGGGGGGGACCTCATGATTATGTGTAAATAAAAAACTGAGCCTCAATCTACATAAAAGGTCTCGACCACAATATGGCCATCCTCAGCAGTACAGAGTATTTCGTGAGCATGACATGACCATGATAGACAGTATGCCTGGAATCATTTCCAATCTTCCATTTCAAGAGGCCATAAGAGTTGTTGACTGTGAGGTGAAATGACCATTAAGTATAATTTACCCTTACTTGAAAAAAAATTCAATATAAACGTTTTTATAAATAAAAATAGTTTATTGCCATAACCTAAACTGACGAGCAAAAGAAACGCCACCAAACAACATCGTTCCTAAAACCAGAGCAGAACTTATGTCAAGACACTTGTATTGTCCAAAGACATGAATTAACAACATCAATACAAGTTATATTATGAGAATCAAGTTGGCCTAAATTTACCCTATTGAAGTTTGAGAAGCATCAGTTGTGTGGATGAAGGGTTCGTTTTGATCAGGATATGCAAGGGCGGGGACTGTTGTAAGGGCTTGCTTTAGTTTTTTGAATGTCTATTGGCAACTGTTGGACCAAGGCCAAACCTAAACAAATGATGAGGATTGGATCTGGGTGACTGAATCTATTTTTGAAGGATCACTATGGATGCCATTTTTGCTGAAGATATGCCCTAAGTAGGTGACTTGTTTGACGCAAATTTACATTTGCTTGGTCTTAGAGTCCTGCTTCTTTGATCTTTTTGAATAGTGCCTTGAATTGATTCAAATGCTATGAAAACGTTTTAGAAAATGTTATGATGTCAATACATATATTTTAGTGCCTCTGAAATCATAAACTGAAATGCCACATGGAGGCGATTTCATCCAAAAAACACCATCGGGGGTAATGAAAGCTGACTTTTATTTGTATCTGGGTGGAGTGGTATTTGACAAAAGACACCAGCACAATCAAGGACACCATACATTTTGCCAGGGATGTCGCCAATATATGGCATCTTTAAAACCCGGTAGAGAGAAAAATATAGGCTTGGGAACTGCATTGATGCGTCTATAATCTACGGCAAAGCAGTAAGAACTATCACGTTTTTAACCATGACAACGGGAGCTTGCCATTCAGAAGAACCAGGCTGAATGATATTGGCACCTCTCTGGAGTCTCATGGGCCTGGCGTCACCTGTTTATATTTTGTGATGATGTAAGTGAGTGTATGTACATGTACGTGGGTCTCTGAACTTGTACCACATCACCCACAAGCTCTGTAATTAAAAGGTACATTCTTCCAGCAGTTGTGAGTACAAACATGTCGAGTTGACCAGTTGTCTGTCAGTTTAAAGAAAACTTCACACTGGGTTATGCTGCACATGGTGTTATTATATAAACATGCTTCATACTGCTATTTTCATTACCTGTACCATCCCCCAAACCCAAATGTCAAATGGTCCGCCACTAAATATTTTGCAGAGGTTGTCATGTTGGGCATCATACTGAGAGTTGTCATAGACCCCGGAAGTACTTACCTGGGTGTCTGAAGGGTAATGTTGAGAGTCTTCTTGGTTACCGGAAGTACATACCTTGGTGTCTGGAGATCATGTTGACAGCTTTTATGGCTACCGGAAGTACATACCTGGGTGTCTGGAGGTCATGATGAGAGTCTTCATGGATCCCGGAAGTACATACCTGGGTGTCTGGAGATCATGTTGAGAGTCTTCATGGTAACCGGAAGTACATTTCTGGGTGTATTGGAATCATGTTGAGAGTCTCTATGGATCACGGAAGTACATCCCTGGGTGTCTTGGAATCATGTTGAGAGTCTTCATGGCTACCGGAAGTACATACCTGGGTGTCTTGGAATCATGTTGATAGTCTTCTTTGGTCCCGGAAGTACATACCTGGGTGTCTTGGAATCATGTTGAGAGTCTTCATGGTAACCGGAAGTTCATACCTGGGTGTCTTGAAATCATGTTGAGAGTCTTCATGGATCCCGGAAGTACATACCTGGGTGTCTTGGAATCATGATGTGAATCTTCATGGACCCGGGAAGTACACACCTGGGTGTCTTGGAATCATGTCAAGAGTCTTCATGGATCCCAGAAGTACATACCTGGGTGTCTTGGAATCATGTTGAGTGTCTTCATGGATCCCGGAAGTACACACCTGGGTGTCTTGGAATCATGTTGAGTGTCTTCATGGATCCTGCAAGTACATCAGACGCCGACTTCTGGTTGTCGCCATTCATGAAATTGTCACCGTTGAAGGTCAAAGTGTGGAGGTCAACCTCTGTCCCCATGCCAAACACTTACCATCGTACCATGCCACCAGCACACATGTCAAGGCCGTCCAGATTACCGTATAAGCGCCCATTTATTCCTTGAGAAAAAATACATTTGTTATTTATCTAATATTGTGAAAGAATTGCAAATATATGTTAAAACATAAAAAGAGTATGATTAAATACGCAATGCTTCCATGTTATCATTCACTCTTGACACTATTGAAGACAACAGCTTTCTTTTGAAGCTCTTTATTAAACAATTTAAATTTGCCTCATATTAGATTCGTTCGTGATGAAAACAAAAAGACATATTTTTACGTCCTCTGCATATTCTCCCAATCCGAGAGTGAGCACACTTCGGGTCACCAAATGACACTATTAAGCACATACATCTCCTCTTACAGTGCATCAGGTTGGATTCTATGAATTCGGCCCCATTTTTCAAGGAAGGATTGAGCCGTTCATGTTCATGTTCTCTTCCAAATACCAGGACTTGTTCTCGTCGCTCACAGAAAACATCAGAAAAAAAGTCCTTAGTCACATTAATCTGGAATAGAATATGATGCTTTGAAATCGAGTTACATTCATTACTTTCCTCGCCTCGCTTCATAAAGGATAGTTTTGTATGCGTCTTCCTGTTTTCAGTGCCACGGAGGGCAGGATGCACACAAGGATCCTTTCCTTAGCTATATCATTTATCCATACTTGATGGGTTCGAATCCCAATTTCGCTCCGATGATGATGCTTTCGGCTTTTCTCCCACATTAGGCATGATACGCCGTGATAAAACTGGAATACTTTCCAGAGCCGAGCTAAAGCCATTTTCTGTTGTTCAGTATGACATGAGTCGAAAATGAGCCGATAAGAGACAATTTTTCATGTCATCGATACCAAAATCTTGACATAAATTCTTGTAAACAAAACCTTGCCTACCTGATTCCCACTTCTCTACCCTTTTCTACATATCAGCATTGGGCTGACCAAGCCACTGTAGGTGTCTTTAGTTACGTCAACGCCGGAAGTGTACATTCGGGTCAAACTTGTAGGGTCTGCCGGCGTGGGTCCTATCTCTTCCGGTATTGTCCGGTAATAGGTGCGGATTCTCTTGGGTACCACAAAGTCATCGTACTTCCCTGTCGGAGATTCAAAGTTGTTGAATAGGGGCGTATAGGGTCAAATGATTAATACACTTTTTATCTTAAATTTCTTTTATCCTTCGAACTGCAGTACGTGCCGTGAGTTGCGTCTTCAATTGAAAGTTTGGTCTAGTAATTTCATAACGAAACTGTCACATACTTCATTTCCATCTTGAATTGTATTTGCAAGCAAACTAAAGTCATATAAAACAATTTAAGAAGTAAACGAAAGGAAGTAATTCTGTCACGGGTAAATGAGAGAATGTTGTTTTGTACCTCAGTCGGAAATATTTCTGTTAAGTAACTACGGTCTGCAACTGATAAATGTGTGGAAGTCACAGGGGCATTTCTCCCTTACAGACCCTTGAGTAAATATGTTATAACATAATCCCATTCTCAGGGCAAATCCAACACACACACCACCTCCACCCTATCCACACCTTTATCGCATGTATCGCTCTAGCATAATCTCAAAGGTTCTGTTATTGAATTATTTTATCAAACCTTTTAATAACTCTATTTCGGGGAGAACATGTCAGCCAAAAATGGCCGTTAACAAGCAGATTTAGCTGTGGATATCAATACGGGTAAATGATTCGAACCGGGACAATGTGCAAAAGAAACGAACCCAGTAACTGCCAGTATGATGAAGACTACGACTGATGTTACCGTAGATGCCGTCGTTGTAGAGGGAGCCTTCACTCAGTTTGCTGTATTGCACGCCGTGGGGATGGATAGAGTAAGCGCGAGAGGCTTTGTTGTAGAGAACGACCTTGACCAGGTCGCCGACCTCGGCCCGGATCACAGGGCCCAAGAAACCCAGGTGCGCCTCGTTGACGTCCCGTGTCTTCTGCTGGTTAAACATGCAGTCGGTGTACTCCTTGAACAGCGCTTTCTTGTAAACGCCGCTAATATTCGAGGAGTCCTTCTTGAAGAACACTTCTGAATCACTGCCAAAGGAAAAGATAACATGGAAAACGACTGTATGTTATTCAGGAGGTAATTCAAAACTTCCATCCAGACTTAACACCAATCTTCATAAAGATTAGGGCGGTCGGGTAGCCTAGTGGTTAAAGCGTTCGCTCGTCACGCCGAAGACCCGGGTTCGATTCCCGACATGGGTACAAAGTGTGAAGCCCATTTCTGGTGTCCCCCGCCGTGATATTGCTGGAATATTGCTAAAAGCGGCGTAAAACCATACTCACTCACTCACTCATAAAGATTATTTTGGCAGGTGAGTCCCATATCTCAATGAATCGCGATATGACATATCTTGATTGTGTTTAGTTGGATAAATTTTCACACATCAAGGTTTTGTACCTAAGATGGAGATGCCGTGACTAACGGGGTCGGGTGGTCAGTCTTTCTGACTTGGTTGATGCATGTCATCGTATCCCAACTGCGTAGACATATGGTTATGATGTAAAACACTGGATTGTCTCGTCCAGACTCGATTATTTACAGACCGCTGTCATATAGCTGGACAATTGCTGAGTTCGTCATTAAACAACAACCAAAGAACATCGAATTGGAGTGATGTCGCCTCATGTGCAAGCTTTAGCTGATGGATACATTATGAGCCTTGATTCACAAGATGATGAGACAAATCAATGTGTGCAAAAGTGCACACTACAATTCTGTCATGAAAAGCCTCCACGTTAATCAAACCACGCACTCCCATTATAATTGGTAAATATAAGCGATTGAGGGAAGTGCGACGGTGGTGGGATCCAATCAACAACACCAAGAGAATACGACGGGTGCAGCATAACTATTTGTGGCTTTGTCTTTGTTCACCTCTGAGCCCCAGATTTTCTTAAATTAAGTCTACATTTGTACTCGGCCCGAAGTTTTTTCTTGACATTCAGGAGTTTGTCCCTAACCTGCATCCCTAAGAACGTGTAGGCCTGACTTTCCCCGAGATGGTCAATAACTCCCCCAAGTATACTGACCGATACAATCTCTTCTGATGACAAATGTTGCATTTTTATAGTCCAATGGTCATGCCAATGTCATTAGAAAAGGATTCGACAATGAGAATCTGTTTTTCTAGTGTGCATTCTCCTTTTGCAATAAGTTCAAGGTCATCCATGTAAAGGAGGTGAGTAAGGGCTTTTTAATTATTTTTATTAGTATTTTTGTTGTTTATTCATTTGAATTGCAAATACCCTGAAATGTATATTTTGTCAATTAGTCAAACTGCACATCTGTCAACTTAATTTACCTGGCAGAACATTTGATTTCCTTTATTTAATAGTTCTGAGTTTTAAATTGGAGGAAGGTATTGGGTTAACGTAAGGAATGTGCGTGGTGACGTGGGTTATGGAAAGAGACGGCGATGAGGGGTGTGGTTTGAGAGCAGGTTTTGTGAAGGGGCTAAGGGAAAAGGTTCCGATGTGCCTTCGGAATGGGTAACGGGAATGCTTTATGGTGGCGAGTGCTGGGGGAGGGCACGTGGGAGAGATTTATATTCGTCACAATATATCTTAGTGGGGAGGGGATAGGTAGGGGGTCCACGATGGTGGTGGTGGTGATGGAGGTAAAATGAAGCGAGTGATTTTACGTCACATCTATCAATACAAAACATAGAGTAACCTCCCCTCCTCTGTCAGGTCGCCGCCGTCATATCTATTCCTGCCGGACGGGGCGTAGTCCCACATCTCCTCGGCAGTTATGTAGTAACGTCGTATGTTGTCAACACGGATGTCAACACGTGGGACGGAGTTACAGTGATTGACTGTCAGGAAGGCTTCCATCCCATCTGAAATGGCGTTATCCATCAAAAACTAAACACTCATATAAGTTACTACATTGTTATATTGTGGATTTTATTGTTGAACAAGGATTGTAATTATAACCGTTTTATGTTGTTTCTGTTGAGATTCGGTAGACGCTCATTGCATTGTCTCTGGCCAGTGATTAGTCGTCGGGAATGTGGTACCATTTAATGTAAACAGTTGTCAGGAAGTTACTATATTGAGATGCTAGTGTGGTGTGTTAACCTCCGGTATACCGTGGACTGGTGAGGACACTTTGTAAAAATTTCCAGAAGCTAGTTAGGCAGTATATAATTGGGCAAGATCGTGTTACGTACATCTCGCGCATTTCTTTACATCGGTACCAGCTTTCATGTCAGGATCGCACATCATCATATTTTTATCACTTACTTTTGCTATCACCACTGTATTTTTATACTTCATACTGAACACTGCCATCCTATAGTATATTGCCATTGAATATTGTACCACCATTCCATTGTGTTCTGTCATTGTAATTGCTTGACAGTAATTTGTGTTGATTTGTAAACCTAGTTAATTTTGTTATACAATTGTTAATAGCAACCACAGATATACCAGTGGCCATTGAGATGTAACCAGTTTCCCCCATGGTTCCCTGACACGACTGATACATTTTCCTGTGTGCTCAATTTATATTTTTGCCTTAATCTATGGATGTTGAATTTGTTGCATCCGCCACATCTGTAATTGCACGCGACATCCTTGGTTGACTGCCGAACTGGTATCTCTTATTGGTATACGTACCGCTGATATAATCGTTGACTTGGCACCTCGTTAACCACTTTCCGCTGGTCAACGCGGTCATCTCGGCCGTCACAAACTGCGCACCCGTCAGACGAATCGAGTCTTGCCTGATAGACGATGATTAAATGGTGATCACGTGTTTCAATCTGTAGAGAAGGATACGTTAAAAGAACATCCACTGTACTCTTTTATAAAAGTAAACAATCTGCTTCTACCACTGCTACTACTATTGTTGATGTTGCTGCTACTTCTGTTGCTGCTGCTGTTACTGCTACTACTTCTGCAACTACTAGTAGTGTTGATATTATCGTTACTACATCTGCTGTTGCTACTGTTACTACTACAGCTACTACTAGTGCTATGCTGTTATTCTCCCTGCTTCTGTTGCTACTACTACTACTACTGCTACTGCTACTACAGTAATGTTGCTGCTACTACCAGTAGTGCTGCTGCTATTACTGTTATTCCTCCTGCTCCTACTGCTACTACTAGAGCTACTACTACCTACTGCTACTGCTGCTATCACAAGGTATTCACATGAATAGTACAGTCAGGTTTTGTGATGAAGTACATGTATGACATGACAACATCGAAGGCCCGTTTTGTCATTGATTTATTTTCTTGCTGATTTTAGTCAGAAAAACTTGTACCATATAGGGAGACAAAACAATTGTACCATATGGCGAGACGAGACAGATGGACCATATGGCGAGACGAGACAGTTGTATCATGAAGGGAGACGAGACAGATGTACCATATCGCGAGACGAGACAGATGTTCCATGAAGGGAGACGAACAGGTGTACCATATGGCGAGACGAGACAGATGGACCATATGGCGAGACGAGGCAGATGGACCATATGGCGAGACGAGACAGATGTACCATATCGCGAGACGAGACAGATGTTCCATGAAGGGAGACGAACAGGTGTACCATATGGCGAGACGAGACATTTGTACCATATGGCGAGACGAGACAGATGTTCCATGAAAGGAGACGAACAGGTGTACCATATGGCGAGACGAGACATTTGTACCATAAGGCGAGACGAGACAGATGTTCCATGAAGAGTGACGAACAGGTGTACCACATGGCGAGACGAGACATTTGTACCACACATAGAGACAAAACACTTGTATCATATAGTGAGATGAAACAGTTGTCCCATATTGGGAGACGAGACAGTTGTACCATATATGTCATGAAAAAATTATACAGATTTAGTTTTTCAAATAATTTAAAAAGTTATTAATTTGAAAATTATTTAGGGACTGGTCATCTAGTCTTGGGAGGAGGATTATGAAATACGTCACTTACAACGGGGGCTTGTGGTGTGCAAAGACCAATCCCACCGTTTCCCCCTATAATAACTAATCAGTCTCTTGGTTATTATTGTATAAAAGGGTGCTTACCTGTGGTTAAAATATTTAAAAGAATGTCCGCTGACGGCGAGAGCGTGGACATCTGTCTCAGACCCCAATGATGCCATATGCCAGTGAATTGTCTCCCCTTCACAGGCAGAGAGTCCCGGTAGGTGGCCGTATACGTAACCATTGATGGCGTGCATCTTGTTGCTCTCCTGAAAGTCTTAGTCGTCTTTATCAACGATCCCGGTGATGTAAGACTTGATATTGCCGTCGAGGTACCAGCTGAGATTCTCATCAAAGAAGCTGACGAAAACGGCGTAAAGGCGCGTCTTTTCCCATCTCTCCAGAGTGCCTGTAGTGAATGAGTTGCAGTTGTGTTTAATGCAGCTTTAAAAGGAGTATTTAAGCTACCAGTATGTCACGGGTTGAAAGCCCGTAGTGATGCAGGTCTTCGGCGTTGACCACTTTGGTGAAACCCACAAACCGTCAAAACTAGAAACATCATCAGGGCGCACCCTGATTCGAACCCGAAATCAATGTTTCTGCGACGCGAACATTGCCGCCTAAGAAGACTGGGTCGCCCGCGACTTGCTAGAACATTGCAATATCATTTCAGACTGAAAGACTGTTGAGAACTAGCATATCAGTAAAATGTCGGTAAAAGGGATACTGATTGAAATGCCAACACAGTGTATTCCTTCATCAGTGTTGTCTCCGATAACAGTATGAAACAACATGATGTTATTTTAGATACTGTGGTAATAAACTACCAGGAAAAAGAAAGTATGCATTGGAAAATTCTTACCCAAATTTTTTAAAAGTTACATAAACACTGCAAACTTAAGGCAAATAAACTCAACTTTGATACCCGAATCAAATACTTCACGTCGAATAACCAATTCTTGTTTGTTTCATTTTTGGCTACGATCAAACATGGGTGTATTCTTTCTTTTGCCAGGCATCTTAGTAATTGTATCAGAAATTACATTTGTTCACATGCCATGCATTTTATATCATAATAATCTTCTTTCAGCATCTTATATTCTGTATCTTTCGAACCTCTAGTCTTGCCATGTTTTAAATTTTTGAAACATTCGAAGAATATCTATTCTAAAGGAGAGGGCCACTTTTGCTGAGATCGGCTGAAATATAGATTGTTCTGGTAGTGCTACCTCGATAACAGGACGCTCCATCGTCGTCGACAATGTGGGCGTGTATGGTACTATTTTAGCGCTCCGTATCTTTCACTAAATATGTGCTTTGTAGGCATGCCGTAAACATATTATTAGTTATGGTGTCTTTAGTTGCCGTATACAGTGTCATATTCATGGTACAGCTATCACGCCTCGCCCAATATGTGTTTTTTGCTTACCTAATATGACACCATACACGCCAACTAAAGACAACGTAACGAATTTATTATGCCGAAAACTTTACACTCTCTGGTATCCATATCAACTTGACACTTACAACCGTTCGTTGAGGTTAAGGGTCAAAGGGAGACTACTCTTCAAACCTTAGAGACCAAACCATGTTGGCAATTTTTACCATAATCTTTATCAAGAAAGTAACGAAAGTGATCTAAAACACATACTAATGTCCTTGCACATCACAATTAATGAACACAAAACAGTGTCAAATAACGATGTATCGGTATTTTCTTGTGAAATATGTGAGGTGGGTGTTTGAAAATCCAAGATTGCTGTTACTGACGGTATACGGTCTCATATTATGTCAGTAACAACCATCTTGGATTTTTACTGACGGTATACGGGCTCATGTGGGGTTAGAATTTCTGCTCTCTGATTGGTCAATCTCACTTTGAGGCATAATAAAACTGATTACACATGTTTAATGAAATCGTCTATGTAAGAATATGACAACATTGTAATTGAAGAGCTGTTACCATTTCGACAGGTCAGGAGAAATCCAACCAGCCCCGATGAGATGTCTTCAACCGATGCCACGTGAGAATGGTACAGCCATGTCAAAAAGTCCGGGTCTCCCTCGGCCGGACTGGACTCGGGGCTTACGATCCAGGTGTATGTGTGGCCTTGTCCGGAGGGAACAATATCTGTCGCACCGGCTTGGTCGTGAGTTCCATCGGCACAGAGTGCACCTGGAAGTTCAACACTTGGTACATTCATCTACATAGGAAATGCTTAATAAATGCTATACAAACTATTCAGGCTATACTAGACTTACGCTTATATGTAACCAATATATTGACCAATCAGATTCCACCTCTCATTTTACTTGTATTTGCTTTAAAAATAATGACGGCGCCTCTTCAAGACGATCTGATCCATCAAAATCTATATTGAGATACAAAGGGCCTTACTTCGCGAAGTGCATCAAATCACGTGAGTACCATGATTATTAACGTGAAAGATTTGGAAAATATATGACACAGAGTTGGCGGAACACATGTTTGCAAATCCTGCCATCGGCCAAATCCTGCACGGCAGTTACCGAGCTGGATGACGATTTCGTTACGCGTTTTTTTTTTTACTATGCATAGACTCGTTTGTCCAGCCAAAATATAACTCCATAATTTTAGACTGGTTCGGCAAGGTTGGAAATTGGACTTGTATAGTCAGTTAACTCCCTTGCCTCGGGAAGATGACACAGGCTTGTTGCATTGGAGGGCTGTAATTCTGAACCAGTTCTCAATGCTTCTATTTGCTACATGTTAGAACTGAATAAAACAGAAAATTGAAACCGGGCAAACGTTTTGTGTCGTTCAAACAGGA